CGTTCTCATCGACAACGAGGACACCTCGCAGCCCTGGGCCTTTCAGGCCTCTTTGGGGGGTCTCCTTTAAGCTCCTTTACTACATACCGTAGGGCCTAATTACCAATATTAAAACGGGGTTTCCTTGGAATCACAGTAGAACAGTATGCCACCAAAATGATTATTAAGGCCCCTATATGAGGGTTCCGTTCTCAAGGGCTCCTTTCTCAAGGTTTTCAGGGCTCCTTCAAAGGAGTTCCTGCAGGGTTCAGAGGAGATCCTAGGGGAGATCCTTCTAAAGGAACCCTGCAGCGGAGCCCTCAAAGGAGCCCTGTGTAAGGGAACCCTAAATGAGATCCTTCAAGAGTAAAACGGCCGTGGGGTCTCCAAGTCAGAGCTGCCAGGGTTCTTTTGCATGGGTTCAGGTTTGGGATTTGGATGGATTTGGTCTTCGGGTTTGCAGGGTTTTGGTGCGGGTTTGGGGTTTCGGGTTTAGGGCCTTGTGTTAGGGGTTTTTGTGTGGGCTTAGGGTTTGGGGTTAGGGTTCGGAGTGTTTGGGGCTGTCGATTTCGGTTTTTTGATTTTGGAGTTAAGGTGTTTTTGTTACCACCAGTGGCGCGAGTCAGCCTGACCGCAGCTAAGCCTAAACCCTTTATTCCGAACCCTGAAACCCTGCATCCTTATGTACCCCCAAAACGCCTTAGTCCTCGCAAGTCCGAAAACCCAACACCTATACCTTTGGTACGGCCCCCACTCAGGAATATTTGAATAATGTTCATAATACAGATATATTAGGACCTTAATAGTAGCCCTATTATAGACTCTTACTGTAAGGGGGCCGTACCCAACCTATACCTACAAATCCCGAAGCTTGGGTCCTCGAAAAACCTTGAACTTTAGAAAGCCGAAACCTTGGGACCCCTCAGTGACTCAACCCCAAACCTCCAACCCTAGACTGAGCCCTAAACCCCCAAACCCCAAAAACCCTACAAACCCCCGTGCGCGATTGTGAGAGGTGCAGCTGCCCCCTTCGGGTGGCATCGAGTTTGCACCCGGCGAGTTTGCAGCGGAGTCCGAGGCTAGCCGGGACCCTAAACCTTGAACCCTAAACCAAATCCTAAAGCCCTAAACCCTACAGCCCCAAGCCGTAAAGCCCTGAGGCTTACAAGGTTCCCCTAAAGTACTAAAGCCCTTAAAACCCACAACCCGAGGATCCCTAAACCCCAAGCCCTGCCGAGGCAAACCGGGACCGCTGGATCTCTGAGATGTCGCAATTCAAGCACGCCTGAGCAGTACCCAAATAAAGGGTTCGTTACGGGGTTGCCGTGAGGGATTCTATAGAGGACTAGGGTTAAGCTGGCTTGCTCATCCTGTTTATTACGGAGACACATGGAGACACCTATGCCTGAGCAGCGGTTCTTTTGTTGCTTGGCGTTGTGCCAATGCTCGTGCAGGCACTGTGTGTTTATGGTGACATCTTTGCCATTCTTGCGGTCCTGTCGCAGTGTCATGTCAGGTGTCGTTGTTTCTACATTGTTCGACCGTTGTCGCTATGGCGTGAGTTGCACCCGTAAAGTATCCTTGTTGTATGCCGTTATTAGACTAGTTCGAAAGCCTGGTCCTTTAGTTGTGTAGTGTTCCTCGCTTCCACTGTGCTGAGCAGTATGGCCTGTAGTGTAATTGCCCCTTGTATTGCTGTCGTGGTCTACTGCAGCTTGAGGTCGCCTGTGATTCCTTTTTTGTGGGGATATATGGTTGCACTCGTCTCTTTCCCCTCCCGAGCCCCTTTGGTCCTCAGCTGTAGCTGCATAGCTTGATGTTAGCAATGAGCCTGCTGATCATCCGCATGCCGGTACTGTGATGGCTCCATGGAGAGCCGAGCTTTTGAGACTTGAAGGTTTAAACCTCAGGACGGGGTTGGCAGAAGCCTAAGAGGCATCGCCAACCTGGACATCGATGAATTGCCGCCTGGCAGCTTTTAAAGGAAGAGATGAGTGCGGCTGCTCCAGCAGTATCGAGTTTCCTGAGCAGCCCCTGCTAAACATCCCGAAACCGTGGCAGCTGCTCTCACCCCAGTGAAGATGATGCCATGGTCAGCATGTTTTCACAGACACCACGGAGGCTCTCCGACTGGTCTGCTCAGTAGTGAAGGTCGGAGAGCAGCCCCCAGCTGCGTTGTAGCTTTCTGCAAGAAGGCCCTGTATCTTCTAGTCCAAAAAAGTATAGTCAGGGTAGTAGTGTAGCATACTATTCTAGTATAATGCAGTATAGTGAGGTGTAGTATCGCATGGTAGGGAGGTATGATGCAATGCAGTCTAGTCTCGTCGCACTATTTGTATTAAGCAGCCATTAAACCAGGCTGAATATTGAAGCTACGCAAACTTCAATGTGTCCGCCATCGCCTGTCTGCTTCATGATGCGAAAACCACTCTTGAAGCTGGTTACTTCGAGTCGTTCTGAAAATCTGAAGAATCTAAGAACCTCTTCTTGTGTGGCACTGCCTGAATTTGCAGTGACCGCTTAGAAGGCCCGCAAGTTAGCGCCTGGCAAGATAAGGCCCTCAGCGTTCTGAATCCTACACCCTACAATCAACCGAAGATAATCTGCAGCAGAACTAACACCTCAACCCTAAACCCTCTGCAGCTGGGCGTACATCAGTAGGCTTTTTTGATGGGCGCACGTGAGCCAGCGAAGGCCTCCAACCCAAAGAGTGGTAGCCAGAGTTCAAGGTTCTTAATATGAGAGTTTCCGAAAATTAGGGGTACCTTGTCTTGGCGTCCTTATAATGAGGGCCCTGCTATTAGGGTGCTATATTAGGGTCCTCTATGTTCGGAAACTCCCGCATGGAGGTTTAGCCTTTAGGGCTTCAGTGGTCACCGACTTCTTGACATCCGAGTCTGTCCCTGGCAACACGGTATTGTTTCTCAATGATACGCAACGTGGGGTTTTGGTGTGCATACATGTTTATGTGAAAGCTTATTTTGGGGACAAAAACCTTACCGTGCATGTTGTGCGAGATGGTTCATAGGTTTATATAGACACTTGGCGTCGCCTCACGTGAGATTTCATTGCTTCCGGGTAGAGCTTTTCAGGTGTGTGGCGCTTGCGTTCGCGTGCCCTTGAACCCCTTGGGAGCGTCTCTTGCAGACTTATTGGCGGCTTGAGGCCGAAGGCAAATTCCGCAGGTTCAGGACAGAGTTTCGGGTAGTGGAGAGAGACGACCTCGAGAAGCAGTTCTAGCACCTGGCTGCACGGACCGTGCGAAAGTCCTAGTCAGGCAATGTAGAAACATGTTCCGAGACCAGGCAGCACCCATAATGCACGTGCAGCAGCAGATCGAGCCCGTGAGTGAAGGGTTGCCTTGTGCTGCCTGGCATTTTGGTGTACAGCTAATGCACTTCACAATGGTGAGTGCCGAAAAATCCGCTCATACCGCGTTAAAGACGAAGTGCTTCTCGGATTCTTGGAAGCTGCCCGGCCTTGTCATATCGTAGAACCCTTGTAGTTACACCGAACCTTCTCGAGCTCCAAACCCTGCGCGAGACGGAGTTGTGAGAGCTTATGCCAAACACCCTTCAGCAGTAAAGGGAGGGTCGACCCTGGTGGCTTTGAGCATCTTCGCGGCTCTTGTAGTTCGCAAGCTGTTTTCGTTGTGTTGTAATCCTTGTTGTTGCTCTGACATCCCTTTCTTCCAAGCCCACCCGACATCCGAAACAGTCCCAAAACACCTCTGAGCCTCGAAACTGCGAGCCTATCGTGATCCCACTGTTTTACGGCGCCTCCGTGACCTTGGCGAATGCTTGGGTCAGATCCAAGCAAGCGTGGTCTTCTTTTCTGTGCTTCCGCCACTTAGTCGAAGGCACAGCCAATTGTGCTTTCTTCCGCTTCGTGACAAAGCCCGCGTCCAACGTCGCAGCCACGGCAAAGGAGTGCTTCTTCGCAGGCAGCGGGCCAAAGCCAGAGGCCATCCTTTCGACAGCTCACACGAATGGTGAAAGGCTTTGTTTTACACTTTACAAGGACGGGCCGGCAGAAGCCAGACTCCTTCAGGGAGTCCAGCGTCGTGTCGCATGCGCCACCGTCACAACAGTTTTAGGATGACCCAGCGGGTTACGCCGTCAAGAAGCGCCGCCTCACCCGAGCATCGACTACCACAGCGCCCTCCAAATCCGACGTGTCTCAAACTTCACGGCCATCGCCTGGGCACAAAACAACATCCTGCGAGGAGCTGCGAACGAACGTGCACTGTAGTAACGAGAATTCGCTGCATCCTCGTGTGTTTGCATGAATGTAGCAAGATGTGGTCGTCAGACGCCCCGCGGCAAACTCGCTTCTGTCGACATAAGCCATCCCTTGGCTCATGGATAGTTGGAGGAATATTCACAGCGGCGGCAAAGGCATCACATGAACAAGCCCGACACCAAGGCGTGATGGATAGTCAAAATGCCGCAAAGTGGCACCCGCGGCACACTCCGGCCGTCCACCGAAGAGTGGCAAGGACAACTTGCAAAACAAAGTCTGGTTGATGGCCATTCACCCGGCAACGTAAGAAAAAGCCGTAAAATTACAGAGAATCGTCGCACAGGGGCGTCCCACAATTCATATGGGGTACGGTGGGGCACTTTTGGGGGCTTTGATTTATCGGATCGCTCAAAGAAGCTAGTCAAGCCCTAAACTCTGAACTCTTAACCCTGAATTCATTTTAATCGAGCCTGGGAAACCGTAAGCCCTGAACCCCAAAGTAGAGACGCAAAAAGCCCCAAACCCAAAGCCCTGAATCGTTGAAGTCCAACCGAACTAGCCTGCAATGCGGCCTTTGTCCTTTCGACGTAGGACAGGAAACCGCTGAAGTGTGTTTCTTCTCGTCTGACCAACTTGCAGAGTTGCTGGGGGGGGGGTCCTAAACCCTAAACTCTATATTGCACATTCCTCAATCTCCAAAGTCAGACCTCGCGGCCAGGCATAGACCCCACAGCAATGCGAGAGGGAAAAAAAAAAAAGAACATTACAATCATGCAGAGGTGCTCGGGGAGGTCCAGCAGAGGAGGGCCAAGGCCGATGAGGCGGACCCGGAGACTTTTTGCGGCTTTGGGTACTTCAAGGATCTTAGTAGGGTAGGTTTAGGGTTTAGGGTCTTAGTCCTTGCTTTGAAGAAGCGGGGGACAGAGGGGCTCTTTGCTGTAACCGGGCTGCTGGACAACGAGGCCTGCTGCAAAAAGGATCTTAGCAGGGTAGGTAATAACTTTTAACCGTTGGGTCGTTGGGGCATGATTATGTCGATAGAGTTTCGGTACGTCAAGGGTCTTAGTAGTACAAGTAGGGTTGGTAACCCTTAGCTTTTGGGGGTATTACAACACCTGTACAATCCCAAAGGCTGACCTTTAGTTCCCTAGAATACCGGACAAGTAAGGGATGCTAGCAAGAGCAGCTAGTACAGTGCAGGCCTACCGCCATTGTGTACAGCCATGGTTGCTAGCGAATGGTTTACGGTTTCGAGTATATTCTTGGGGTTAGTGTTGGTGATCAAAAAATGCGTGCTTTCAGGGCGACTGTAACGGTTTCAGGTTTCAGGGCTTTGTATTTCATGCAGAGATCGGAAGTATTCATAGACATCCCAGTATTTGGGTTGTACAAGAGCTACATAGTATGTTACAAGGATGTAGAAACCCTCAATACTGATACAGTTTAGGGTAAGGGTTGCTGGGAGGCTACTGTGAGGTTTACAGAAAGGTTCTTGAAGGCAGTCTTATGAAGAGGGTATCAAGTATTAACAGTGGTATGTCCAGTCTGATGGAGAGTTCGGGCTCAACGCCTATGGCTTAGGGCTTAGGGCTTAGGAGGGCTTGAGGTTCGGTGTTTGCTTCGCATGCAGCATGGGACCATGATCAATGAATTCGCAGTAGTGCCACTAGTCCTCTCTTTCTCTCTCCCTGACTCTGTTTTCCTTGTCTCAGTCAGTTTCTTGTCAACAAGTCGAAGACAAAAGCCTGCAGTCCATTCCAACTTGCTGAGGCCAGCCTCTTAGAGGTGCGGCAGAGGGCGGCCATGTTGCTCTCTGAGGCTTGCGGCGGTTATGGGTTTAGGGTTCAGGGGGTTAGGTTTCCGGTTTTTAAAAAGGGCTTGAGGGTTTCGGGTTTAGGCTTAGATTTGTTCAGGGCCTCAGCGTTTAGATCTTATGGGTTTGTTTCTGGGTTTGGAGTTTCTGGAATCTTCAAGGGTTGGGGGTATATACATATCTTTACATAGTAATTAAACCGCGCTATATATATATATATACAGAGTAAATGAATATATATATATATATATATATAAATGTACGTATGCCTGTGCCGCAGCACCGACTATGCTTTCGTCGGCGCAGCCTGGCCTTTGCTGCGGGTGTGCTTGGGTCTTCGTGCGGCGTAGACATACGTACATTTATCCGCTGCTATCTTACATGTCACGTCTATGTCAATGTCCATGTTTCGGTTTCTGTGATGTCTCCACCAAGCCAAGCCCAAGCCGAGCGGAAAGAAAAAGATACAAGCCGTGCCAAGGCACGCCAAAAAGCCCAGCCAAGCCGCAGCAAAGGCCGTACACCCTCCAGCCTTTACCCGAAGAAACCCCAACCCTAAACCTCTAAACTCCTAAACTCCTGATGCATGAAGCTCCTCGTAGGTCGTGGTTTGAGCTTGATTGATTTAGAATGCCACTTTCTGAAAACTGACTGACACAAACATGTCCGGATCCATGTAAAGAACCCTGATAAAGACCCAGGGCTGCTGAATCAGGTTCCTATATGAGGTTTCTGGTCCGACCGGCGAAGCACCAAGAACCTTCCCTGGCAATGGCAAGTCAGAGATGGAGGCCCTAAACCCCATAAACCCTAAACCTCATAGACCTAAACCCTAAACCCTAAAGCCTGCAGTTTCGAGGCTGCCGCCGATGGCAAGCTCGAGAAGGTCCTCAAAGACATCCACGCCAAGGACTGATGAAGATCAAACGGGCTGAACAGGTTTTGGGTTTTGGGTTCTTGGGGTGGGTGCATTCCTGACACCCGTCTCAAGGGCCTTGCAACACTAATGTCCTTTTCGGTTGGAATAGGCACCTTGGCATTGAGCTGACTGTCCGATTTCTTGTTTGGAGTTTCTCTCTGTAAACCCTGTTTTCGCCTAAGCCCTAAACCCTAGCCTATGTAGGGTGGTTTGTAGAGCTCATAGATCGACGTCATCATCAACCCAAAAGCCAAAAAAGCCGAACATCCTGACCAGTATGATTGTGTCCCGGATAGGTAAAGGCCCTGTCTAGGAGGATTCGCCGGTTGTCTGCAGACCTTGCTGAACAGAGGTGAGCAACAGCAACAGCTGATCCCTCAACCCCTCAAACCTAAAACACTAAAATCCCTACACCTTAAACCCATAAAAACCCCTAAATCCCCAAGAAGCCAGAAAATCCTAGCGCCGGAAGCCCTAAGAAGTCAGAAGAGTTCAAAAGCCAGACAAGACACTAATGCCCAAATATGCCATAGACGTGCCTTATTGCCCGAAGCACTTGTGGTGATAAGGATAGTATAGGGTTTCATGGGGTCATGTTTGGGTCATCTAGGAGACATGGGGCCCAGACTTCATAGAACATTTCGCTGTGGGGCTTTAGGCCCCGAGGGCCCGGAGGGGACGGCGCCCCCGACACACCGCAGCAAGAGCACTGCTCGCTTGCCCCACGTACCCAAAGCCAACAGGGCTTTGGGCTGGGTCTGCCAGACTTCGTCGCATAAAACAGATAGACAATCGTATTGCGAAGAAGAAGGCACAGCATCAGAGTTGCTATCAGAGAGACAAGCACAAGAAGCCATGCACTTGCATTGGCATGGTGTTTGCAGACGCCAGGATGGGCAACCTGAATTGCCAACGGCTGAGGACTGCTGTGATTGTTGTTGTTGTTGTTGCAGTAATCTACGGGCCTTCATAATTACCCACTCTATTTTGGGGTTCCTTGTTATAGTTATACTATAATATCCCCCACAGCCTCCTTTAATTATGCAGGCCCCTATATGATTCGCGCGAGGGCTTGCTGGGGATGCAAAGCTTCGGGCCTCCGGGTTTGCGTCTTGGAACATGCCAACGAAGCCCTGAATTCTACCACAGCCCTTAAGAGCCCTATTAGTAGTAATAGTAGTATTAGTAGTAATAGTAGTACTAGTAGTAATAGTACTAATAATTGTAATAGTAGTAATAGTAGTATTAGTATTTCAGCCTTGCAAACCTGTAAGCACCCTTCGTGCCGACACGCAGGTCCGTCCCCACAACCCAGCTCCAAACCAAGATAGGGCAGAAACTCAAAATCCACAACCCTTGATCCTTTGAAACAGCAGCCTAAACCTACAGCCATGGCTCAGAAGAGCAGGGTAAGGGTCTTTAGTTTGCGGATGTTTACGGTGTGTCATCTGCATCTGCAGCGTGAGCTTGTTGACATTCGCGATCTTGGCTTGGTATGTTCGCCTCATCGCATCTCACGGACCTGTGACAAAAGCACCGATGTTCGCGATCTTCCACGAAGTATTGTACCAATGCCGGCACAGCAAGCTCTGACAGATCATCACTTTCCAAACGCGTCAACCAAAAAGGCCCTGCATCGAGAGACCAGATCCCGCAGGAGCGTGCAACATGTCTTCATCAAACGAAACACGAATTTTCAGGGCAGCTTTTGCACTTCCCCGGCTGAGTTCCCAAACCCTGAGGCCAAAGTGTTCACGTATGTTTATAGGCCCCGGTTTTTAGGTATTGTATTGTACAGTAGAGTACATGAGTATATTACGGTATATGACAGAAGGGGCCCCCACCATAATCGGAATATAATAGGGCCCTAATATCATCCTTATAGTCACTATTGCAGGGTGTGGGCCCCTTCTAAGTCATTAGATCTGGGGGTTTTCAGGGGCCTGGAGTCTCCGGGGGTGCCAAGAAAAGGCCTCTGAGCTCGTGTGGTCCAGGACCGCCTGGCCGCCACTCGAGCCAAGGCCATGGGTTTAGGGTTGAGGGGTCAGGTAGTATTAATTTGAGTCTTAAAAGGAACCTTATTGAGAGGGTCTATATCTTCGAGGGTTCCCCTTAATCCTAACTCCCATGGGTCAAATGAGAGGAACCCTTAGCGAGGGTAGGGGGAGGGGGGGGGGGGGGGGGGGGTACACAGGGTTTCGAGTTTCAAGGGGTTTCAGGTTTCGAAGCTCTAAGGGGCCCAAAGAGGCGCCATAAAGGGATTCCGAAAAGGTGCTGTTGTTCAGGTCGTCTTCGAGTTTAGGGTCAGGGCTTGGGGATCGCCGAAGTCTTGCGAAAACAGTATCAGTATCATCGGACGGCCCTTCCAGGTGCGATCGCAGTTGCAGGAGGCAAGGAAGGGTCAGGGGAGTCAGGGGTAATGCACTTGGGCTGTTGATGTCTCTTGGGGTGGACACCGTAAGGCGATTCGGGCTCTGGGGTGTGGTTCGGGGTTCGGCAGCGTTTTGCACCAGAGCCTCGTCAGAATTAGGTCTTTGGCAAACTTGTTGCTCAATATCCGTCGGGCTGCCGTTGGTCGCTTTTGTGCATGACTTCGTTGCGTGCTTTCCGCATGCCATTCCCGTCTTCCAGTGATTCCAGTGTGCTGCACCTGTGTCGGCCTGCCCGTCCGTCTACCCGTGTCTTTCTGTATCCACTGCTCTGTTCTGCAAGGTTGGATAGTTGTTCCGCGAGGTTGGATAGCTGGCTTGATAGTTAGGTTTCCGCTACAGTTCCATGCAACACCCGGATAGCACGCAAGCACACATGTAAGATCCTCGGCACCAGTATATACACGGCCGAACCTTCTTCATACACCTTGAACCCGAGTCTGTGGCCTGCATAGGGCTACAGACTTCCAGATCCCCCGAAATGCATGAACTTTACAATATGAAGGTCCCGGAATCCTAAAACTATACCACCCCAAGCAGATAACCCACACAAGAACACCCAAAGCCCACTGCCACAAGACCTCAAACTCTAAACCCCAAGCGTGAAACCCTAAACCCCGGACTTAGTATCTGAAGCCATGCCTGCCTTGCGCGAGTGTGTGAGTCGAAACCCCAAACTAGTACCAATATTCTTGTACTTTTCTTGCTCTGTAGGGTTCATGTTAAACCTTACTAAACACTTATGGCAGCACTTATAGTCACCCTTTCACGGAACGCCTTGAAGGAACCGTTGTAGAAAGCCCTATTCCGATTATCAAAATCCCAAACCCTAGACCCTAAAACCTGACTAAACTCTAAACGCTGCAACTCGACTAAGGTCTCCACCTCAAACCGTTTAGAAGGAACCGATACTGCAAACCCTTCCATTACTAAAGCCCAAATAAACCTAGCCCTTTCAAGAAATTCTTCTAAAAGGAACTGTTACAGAAGCCTCTAAACCCTAAACCCCAAATTGCAAGCCCTAAACCCCAAACCAACACAATTTCAACCCTGAGTCCTAAACCCCTATGTTCCTGGAGCCTCTGGGGAGAGCCTCCCAAGGCGGCAGCGGACGGTCGGCTGGAGAAGGCCCTTGGGGTCCGCGCCCTCAGCTTTTTTTGAGCCCTGGGTTTGGGGACATTCGGGTGGTTTAGGGGTTAGGGTTCAGTTTTAGGGTTTCAGCGAAAAGGGTTCTGGATGTTAGGGGGGGGGGGGGGTTAATCATCAGATTCCTGAAGGGGTTTGATGAGGGTTTGTAGGGTGTTAGGGACTGTTTGTCTTCTTGTTTTGGGGTTTTATGGCTTCATGGGTTTCGGTGCTCATTGCGGGCTCAGGGTTTGGGGTTCAGGTTTCTGTGTTCGGCAAGGGTTGAAAGGACTCTACACAGGTTTTATGTGAGGTTGAGGGTTCAGGACCGAGGGGTTTGGGGTCAATTGTTTGCGGGTGTACGGTTTGGGGCTGGTGTGTGTGTGTGTGTGTGTGTGTAGAGGACTGTATTCTTTACAGCTTGCTGGGGCTGAGCAGTCAGTACGGGTTCTTGGGCGGTCGGCTCGGCATTGTGCCAGTTGGGCTGGGGGGAGACTTGTTGTTCGGTGTGCTTCGTGGGGGTTTGTGTCCGGCTTCGCTGCTCGTTTGCGAGGGGTTTGAAAGTTAGGAAGCCTTGTTCCGCTACTATCCTGTGGTAGGGCCGGGCCGGTAGGGTGACTCGATGTCCTCCAAACTGGAAGCTCCAAGCCTTCATGGCCTTAAACCCCAAAGTCCAGGCTCGAAAGTCCCTTCCGAAAAAGCTTGGTCGCGTGAACCATAAGTCCCTTCATCCTCAGTAAGCAGTAGTAGGCAGCTGTACGCAGTAGTAAGTAGCCAAGATGTACAACTCGCAAGTGGCCCTCTGGCCTGGTTCGTCAAGTCCTCGACCCTAGACTTGAGTCCTTAAATCCAGCAATTGGGGGTTTTGGTTTTTGGGTTCTGGCTTTAATCCGAGTGTCAGAGCACGGTTCTAAATCCACGCTTTGTACTCTGACCACCTAAGGGCATAAGCCTTGAGCATCGCCTGAGCATAGTAGGCAATTAGAGCTGCTGGTCAGCTCATGAGCCTTCCCCGCGAAGTCCGTGTAAGCCGCTACAAGTTCGAACCCCTGACGTCCCGTATTTAGATCCAACAAATCTCACTCCGAGGCTGTGGGCAAGGAGGCGGAGCTTTCATGTTCTCAGACTCCAAGTTTTTGGAAGTTGGCATACCTGCAAAAAGGCTTCTCGTGAGAGTGCCTTGGAGGATTTCCTATGAGGGTTCCCATAACTCGAAGACCCTAATAACCTCGCCTGGCTTGTCCCAGCACGACCACCGAAATCCCAAGTCCCAGAGCCTAAGCCTAAGCAAAAACGCAAAACACACCGAAAACCTAAATCCTGAAGGCCCCAAAACCCAAACGGTAGCAACGAGACCTCATGAAGCCGTGCCCGCCTTGTGCGAGCGGGCGAGTCGAAACCCAAACCCTATTCTGCGTATCTTGTTTTGTTTATGGGTTTGGGCTTTTAGGGTTCAGCGTCTGGGGTTTGGGACTTTCAGCGTTTTGGGTGTAGGCTTTGGGGGTTTACGATTCTGGGTTGAACTAGGCTGAGGTTCTGCTTGAGAGTGTGTATTTCATGGGGTAGGTTTGATAAAGTCATTCCGAGGGTGCCGAGGTGTATAAAAAAAGCTGGTATATCTCCAGCGGTTCAAGTCTACAGCGACAAATTCAAGCAAAGCAGATTCCCATTATGCTAAACCCAAAATAAAAAAAAACATCGCCGTCTAGCCAAGCAAGCATACGCCCCGCCCCATTCACTGGTAGAGTTTCGGGTTTCAGGTTTTGGCTGCAGGCTTTCGGGTTAATGTGACCTGTGCCGCAGGCCGGCAAAACTGCTGCAGCGGCAGAGGTGCCATGTCCTTGAGCTCTTAGGGGTCTGGGGTTTAGGGTTTGCTGGATGGCTTGGTTAAAATGGAGTCATTCATATGGAATGAGAGTAAGTTGGACCCCCGGTAAAATTAACCGCTGCCTTCGAGGGCGGTCCCGATTATTAACACTAGACTACAACATCGAACCCTAAACGCTAAGCCCATTAGACTACATTGCGCCAACCTCGACTTGTTGTTGACTCCCGGCCAAAGCTTGAGCATTGCTGTCGATCCGAAATCCAAACCCAGCAGGAGAAGTCAGTGCCCGCCCTATCAACGGAGGTAATCAGAGGAGGAAGAAGAAGACTAAGACGAAGATCAAGAAGGATGAGAAGAAGGAATTGCAATAAGCACACCACCAGACGTCAAGCCACGAATGTGACGAGCAGTATATAAGTCTACTGGCAGAGACCATGACAGTCACAGCATCAAAAAGCCGTGGTCATTGTAGTCGTTGTCAATCATCACGCGAAGAAGGCCGATGAACAGACAGACCAGAAGGTGTACAAGTACCAGCAGCTAGCCCGTGACCCTGAGAGGAAATGTCGCTGTCAAAAAACAAAATCTCAAGACAGCGACAAGTGCCTCAACCCTAAACTTTCAACGCCCAAAGCCAAATCCCAGAGGCTTAAAACCCTAGCCCTTGAACCCGTAGATTCGTCCTTGCAAGGCGGGAGGCCACAAATCCTTGCAGCCCAACCCCCCTAAACCCCAAGCCCTCGTCCCAACCCCCAAGCCTTAAGCCCCAGAACCGAAGCCCTAAGCCCCAAAGCTCCGAAGTAAACAAAACCCTAAACCACCAACGCCCTAAATACCACCAAAGCCCTGAACGCCCAATTTCCGAAAAGCCTTCAACAGGGCTATAACTAGACCCCCTAAACCCCCGAAACCCCAATCACTAGACCCCAAAGCCTCAAACCCTGAATGCCCCAAACAGGCCTACAACTACGACTCGGATTTCGAGGAGTTTCTGTCGAAGCCGAAGGCCGAAGAAGCGGCGCCCGCGGCCCCACAGGCCAGCTTTGTGAATCACGAAGGGATGGCACCCTCAAGCCTGCAAGCACTCAGCCTTCTCACTGATCGCGGGCTGCGTGGCTACGCGTTTCGCCTACGGGAGGCTTTTCAAGCCAGGCTTCGAGATTCAGAAAAGAGCTGCGATCACCATGCACATGCACCTTCGAATGCTGTGCACTGTGATGTTTGCAACTGCAAGTGTTTTTTGGTGCGCATAAAACCACTTGGAGTTTCTGTCGAAGTCGAAGGCCGAAGAAGCGGCGCCCGCGGCCCCACAGGCCAGCTTTGTGATTAGCTTTTGAAGAGGTTTTGGTTTTAATCAGCATATAGGGTACGCGGTTTAGAGTTTAGGGTCAGGGTTTTGGTTAAGATGGTTAAGTGTTTAGGGTCGACGGCTTAGAAGGGTTCTATTGAAGTTCTATATAAGGCAGTATGAGGGCTCCTTTAAAGGGGTTCTGGCTCCTTCAGCGGCGCGGTTTTGGTGGTTCAGGAGTTTGGGGTTTTAGGGTGGGCTTGGGCGTTTCGGATTTCGGAAGTTTTAGGTGTTCTCTGAGGGTTCTTTGGTATTGTTTCTGTAATCCAGCTACGGTTCCAGAAGGGTTTCACTAGGCGTATAGGGGCTTTATGAGCGTTTTGCGGTGGGTGTGTAGAGTAGACAGAGGAAGCCGCAAGGTTTTGAACTTTTCTTGACAATTCCGGATCCTTCAACATTAAGCCAATCAGTACCACGAACCATTAAACAATAAAACAAGCTTTAAGCCTTAAACTGGCCTTTCCCAGAGGTATTCTGACTGAAACCCCGAAACCCTCTTCTCCCTCGACTCCCGCCCTTGAACCCAAACGCCCTAAACGATTCGCTAAACCTTCAACCCCAACGCCCTAAACCCTAGACCCGGAAAGCCCCTAATGTCCACACCCCAAACCCCTCAAATTGAAACGATACAGAGAAGAGTAGCATGGCCCCTGCGCGGAGATGACACGCACAAGCCGAGAAGTGCACCAAGTCGAAAACCCCCCCAAGCGCACTGAACCCCAAACCCCAAACCCCCCGAAGCATCCGCTTTTCGTCATACCATGGCAGAAAAAGGAGCGTTAAAAAAAAAAAACGAAGCCCCACACTCTAAACCCGAAGAGCCCGCAGGCTAAATCCCAGAAGATGCCCAAACCTAAACCCTAAACCCCCAAGCCCTAAATGCCCTAAGCCCTAGATCCTAAACAAGATTCTCAAACCCCAAAATGCCCTTAACAGGCCTACAGCTACGATTCGGACTTCGAGGAGTTCCTGTCGAAGCCGAAGGCGAGCTGGCGAAAGCGAAGAATCGTTTGTTAGGGAGTGTTTTTGCTAGAAAGAGAGGATTTATTCAGGGTTTCAGAAGGGCTTTTACGATAAGGCGTTGTATAAGGGATCTGTTAAGGCGTTAAAGGGTTGGATAAGTGCTTGTACAAGGGATGTCCAGGAAGGGTTTTACATGGGGTTTTCTAAGGGCTTCATGGGTGTTTATGGTGGTTTCCAGAGGTTGGCGAGCACCAGTTGAGTTCAAGTTCCGCAGAAGAACGACATGGTCATGTAATTTCGTGCGTCCAAGGAATCCATGAGGAGAACTACTTACATAAGAAAGCCTTGCACACCAAGCGTGTAGCAAGGCTTCTGAAAGTCAGGAGAAGCTGACGACAGTTCATGATCTGACAAAAGGTTGATGCAGAGTGCCAGACCTGGGATTTTCGCATCACGACTCTTCCCAAAAGCTCGACTCCGACCCCTGAACCCTCATACCTCCACATCCTCATCCACACCCTAAATCCCAACACTTTTTGACCTGGCCCTCCGGACAACTGGGAGTTGCCAAAGCCCCTGAACCAAACAAAACCCGTAAACCCCAACCCTGAGGCCTAAGGCTTAAAAGTTGGGGCATCTCAAAGCAAAGCCATGCACCAAAAGCACTAGATGGTTAAACTTAAACGCTGAACCTCAAACTCAATTAGCTATGAAGCCTTAGCTTTGTCCAGCTGTTCAACCAAGATTCCCTCAATGAGGGCCTCGTCCTTGCTAGGTAGGAGGGAAAAAACCCCGAGCCGACAGCTCTGAACCTTAAACCCCTGACCGTGACCCCTTGCAGCTCCAAGTCCCGAAAGCCACGCCGACGCAGGAACCGGCTGTGCCGGCGGCCGGCTCTGAAGGTGCGGAGGGCAGGGTTCCTTCGGGGTTCCTTGGAGGACTTCGGGACTTCGGTTTTGAAACCTTAAACCCTACAGCCTATTTAGGATTCAGGCAAGGCTCGTTTCAGGATCCTGGACCCTGAGTTCTAATCCCTGTTAGGCCGGGTTCAGGGAGGGGTAGCTTGGAGATTTTTTTTTGAGGCCTGAAGGCTCGATTTCGAAGCTCTGAGACCGCAATATAGGGGCTTGAATGCTTCGATTAGAGAAAGGTTTCTATAGGGGGTTGCTGTCGCTGTTTCAAGGGTTCTCAAAGCTTAGTATAAGAGAGCCTCATTGATTTGTTGGGGGCAACTTGAATTGAAATGTATCTATGTCATGTATGTAGGAGAACATCGCCACCAATAGTTCAGACCTGTTTATGGGACCGGTCGGGCTTTTGCATGGACACTGTGTATACAGCTCTACTTTCATATTGAATCCTTAGGGTCTGCATACCCCAAACTTTACGCCCTGTTCCCTGAAGCCCGAACAGATTATCAGGTTATAGAAAAGCACAAACCCTAAGTCTAAAACTTGAGACCCGCAGCCCCAAGCCCTTTCGCCTGTCTGAGTTTTGAGCGAAAGGCGAGCGGGCGCTACAGCTGAGGTGCCGCCAGCAGCTCTCTCTGTGTGTGCGTAGGGTGTCTAATATACAGAGGGGCTTGAAGAGTTCGGACAGGGCCAGTAGCCCTCCGCAGTCTCTTGTGAGGGCCACTAGCTCAGGGATTTAAGGTCAGGGGTTTACGGTTCCCGGTCGTGGGGTGTAGAAGTTTACATTTTCGGGTTCAGGGTTCAATGTAGGAGAGTGCTTCAATAGATGTCAGCCCCTGGTCAAGCCAACTGGGGCTTCATAAAAGTATGGGTACTCCACAACTGGGGAGCCGTACGGTCAGGATCTTGCTTTGGGATGTACATCTGAAGTTATTCTGGCAACTCCGTCGTGTCGCCCTCCTAGCCAGTCCTAGTCGTACAGTCGTACAGCACCTTTTGGATCTTTTGCATCACTTATCCTGCGCAACAGGGGGCTTTGAACCCGAAGCCGTATGCCAGAAGCAAAAGCCGATTAGAGATCCTTGAACCATAAACTTCAGCCATAGACTCGAAGCGTCGTCCAGTCTGAAGACCTTGCTTGGCATTGTCCGAGTGTCCGCGTCCAAAATCTCGAAACCCCAAGCTCTAAACTCGTCAAGACAACCGAGTGGAAGGCCCTTCACAGTGGCTCTGCCGCAGCCAGGGTTGAGGGTTCAGAGGGTGTAGAGTTCAGGGCTTAAGCGGCTTGAGGTTTTAGGGTTCCCAACCCCGAAACCTAGTTAAAATGCCAAGGCCACAGACCAGAGCTCTCAGTGCGAAATTTCAAGCACGAACATGGAAGTTCTACGTTTCAACCGATGGGGGCTTTTAGAAGCAGCGGGGCTTCATGAAGTAGGAGTCTCAAATCTGAAGATCGAGCCTCCCCCGCCAGGATCCGAAGTCAGATCCTCGCCGCTCTCAACGACGGCTCCCTGGAAGAGGCCGGGCTTCTCGGGTTTAGGGTGCAGTCTCTTGGGGTTTAGGTTCTGGGGTTTAGGGTACAGTTCAGCCCCACCGCTTGGAGCGAAGAGCAGTCAAGGAGCAAAGACGGCGAGAGCGCCAACAGCGGAATAATGAATTTGTCAAGCCTTTTTTGCCTCTCATGAAACATCTTGGGAGAAATATGAAAAATCTGACTTCCCCGGCCGACATCCCGAACCCGGATGCAAAAAGGGTATACTTCAGGAGGCCTGGCGGCAAAAGGGTAAAGGGCGTGTGTATGGTTCAGGATCCGGCTGTGGAGTTGGGGTCGCTGAACTTTCTGTGCGATCTAGTCGGCTTTGTTCTAGAGTTACCAGAGGAACTTCAGAATGCAGAAGTGTTCTGAGGTTCTGAAGGGGTGGGTTGTGAGGTTCAAGGTTTGGCAAAACGAGTAAGACAAACCTGCAACCCCCAAGTCCGCACAACAACTTTCCGGAGCCCAACCCCTCAACTCTGACTCTTGAAGCCGTGCCTGCGAGAGCGAGTGTACGAGCCGAAACCCTCTGCAAACACTCGGCACCGCCATGCTGACGGAGCCAAGAAGTCCTCTAACCCGAAACACGAAGCCCGTGAACCCCATCAAGCCCACCACCCTGAAAGCTCAAATCCGTGAAACCACCTCAGACCCAACACCCTAAACTGTTGCCTTCCTTGACATGTCCCAAACCCTATCCCTAAACTAAACCCGAAAGCCTAAAGCTCAAACTCCTAAGCTGAACGCCTAAGCCCTACCACCCGAAATTCCTAAACCCTAGTTGTGAGTGCTGAAACCCTACAAAACCCCATACTCCCAAACCCCCTAAGCCCCTAAACCTTGTATCCGAACCCTCTAAACCCTAAGCCTTTAATTCCCTTATTCCCTATGTTACACCCTACCCCCCCCCCCCCCCAAAGGCACTGAAACCCAACCACCCAACCCCCAGCCTTCCGCTAGGCGCTGATCGGCGTCGGTGCTGGCCAAGGCAGATTTTCCCTTGGCGAGTCTTAGGGCTAATAGGGTTTATGGTTTATACGGCTTGTAAAGTTTACAGGATTTGGAGCTTAGGGCTTATAGGGTCCATCAGGGTTTTAGATCTTGATGAGGGTTTCGTGAGGGTGCTTCCAGATTTCTGAACTTTCTGAAGGGGTTCCACTAGTGAAATATTGGTGTCCTCTGAGTTCAAAGACTGATACAACAGCTCCCCTTTTCACTCCCTGCTAAAGGGAGTTAGAAGGCATTTGGAAGGAGGGTGCGCGAAGGCTAGGCTGGCACAGGCTTGCCAAGCCTGGCACACGGGCAGAATACTGTTGGGTGGGGGTGTGGGCATGTTCCTTCAGTTGTGGAGGCGATGACGTTGGTGGCGGTGCAGGTGCTGGTGATGATGCCGAGAGAGTTGCTCTGGTGGTTTGTTTGGCCGTGGGTTCGTATCAGGCCATGGCGACGGAGGGGACAGTTGCGACGGTGATTTTTGTAGCTCGTTCGGATGAGGATATTGGTGATGTCGCCGATGGTGGAGAGACTGATGCTGGCGGTGATGATGCAATGATACCGATATTCCCCATCTGCATCATGGTCATGATGAAGCTGTACTCTAGCTCTGTTCATGACATTGAAGATGGTTGTGGTTGGGAGTGCCGGCATGTTGCTGTGGCAGCCTCAGCAGCTCCGCAGGTGAGGCCGCGGATGATGTGCGCCAGAGAATCGAAAAGCAGCTCATCGCAGCTTTGGAGGACGGATCCCTCGAGGAGGCACCGATCGCACGAGCACGAAAGCCAAAGGCGTCAATTTCTGGCTCGGGAAAGCCTTACAGCAGCTGTCATTTAAAACTTAGAGGCCCGAATGATTAGCAATAGGGTTCCTTGAGATTCTGTTATAAGGATTGCATTCAATTGTTTACGTTCTCTACAGTAGGAACCTTTGAGTACATGTGTTGGTTCTTGAGTTCCTATCCATTCTACGGATCCTCCTCTTCTACGGATCACCCGCTTTCCGGGGTGTCAGAACCCGTCCTTGTGTTACATCTGGTCGCTACATGACCTTCGATTCCCTTGCAGAGAGAGGTTCATGTTTGGGATCGACGTTTCGCGGATTCGGCATGCAAAGTCCCGAGGACTTCGCTAAGCCCAGCCCATGCCACACCCTAAGCCGTGCAAGCTACAGTCGCCTTCGGTCTTAGAGCTGCGAATGCAGGTTGAACTACCGTGTGAATGGCTTCCCTGAAACCCGAAGGCCTCAAATCCTGAAGCCCCAGACCAGACAATAAAGCACTGAAGAATGGACACCTTAAAGCCCCCAATCCCCGAGTGTTCGAGTCAAAATCAAGCCTAGACCAAACCCCAATCCTGGAATCCGAAACAGGCTATCCAGACCTCTTTGGCACCTTCTGCACCTCCGCCTGCACCGGTAGCTCCGGTGGCTTCGTCACCTCGGGTGGGGCCTCCGCTGCGGCATGTGGTAGGGTTTTGTAAGTGTGTAGAGTCTAGGGTTTTCAGGTCAGGGCTCTGCAAGAGGTCTTGAAGGGGTTCGGTTCAGAGCGATGGTTCTGTAAGAGTAAGAATTCAGTGAGCCAGGGGTGCCACAGCGCTTCTCTAGAGGTTTGACACTCAGCGCCCTGTTGCAAAATCGGATTGGGGTTCAGGGTTTAGGCTTAGGATGGTGGTGACGGCGACGTTGGCGGCGATGGTGGCCAGTGACCATGTTGACCTGTATGCGTATGCGTGTGAGGAGGAAGCTCCTTGGTGATGAAGACGAAGAAAAAAGAGCGACAGCGAAATAGTATGTTCATAAGGTGGGATACACATATGATTCTGTGCTCTCACATGTTCTGATTATGCTTGTGACTGTAGCGGCTCCATGGTTATCTTTAATGATAATTGGAACTACTGTTGTCACCACCATCATGCCCACCAGCACGTACCACCAGACATAACCACGTTCCACCGCGCCGCCCATCACCCGCCACCCACCACCTATTCCCTCGCCCCCCGCCCCCAACCCCCCCCCCCCCCACACTTCACGCACCGCGCACCGCCTTGTCCGGGAATTCGTCGACCTCTGCAGCAACAGCACCACCAGCATCATGGCTATCCTCGTCTTCGCTGCATCATCGCCATTTCAGTTTGTGCAGCTCCCCAGGCGGACCCGAAGACTGTGGAGGAATTCTCCGCGAAGATGTTCCTGGAGGTCCCGGAGCATGCCCTAAGCAACTGTCCAATGCCTTCTTCTGTAACGGTTTACAGGGCTTTACAGTTTAGGGAAGACGTGGCCATGACTACGACTTACACAGAAATGGTGTCCAACAACAGGTTTTGGTTGTTCTGGCTTGTTCTGGCGGTCCTGTATGGGCCATGCATTAAGCTAGGAATACTCAGTACTCCGCACCAGAGCAAAGGACACAACTTGGACAGCCAGTCCTAAGACCCTGAAGCTCGGAAGCCCTAGACCCTAAAGGCCCTAAAGCCTTGAGTCTGGATTGTCCGAGTGTGAGCGCCGAAAGCCTTAAGCCCGACACCGAAACCTTGTGCGAGAGTGAGAGACGAATGCCCTAAACCCAGGGGAGATTTTAGTTTCTGCTCCGAAGGTTCGGCTGTTCTGCTAGGGGTAGGGGCGTGTGCCGGATTGGGCAGGTTTGCACTTAAGTGAACCACATGGTCCAGAAGTATACCATGCGTCGTCACGGTAGGGTACGACAGCTCAGAATAACGGGGACCGTGGCTGCTGCAGCTGCGGCGACTTTCATAGAGCCTGATGCCACGATGCGCTCTGCAAGTTTTTGTTTCTAAACCTGAAGCCCTGAACCGTGAAATCTGGGCTTTAGGGCTTAGAATCTGCTAAAAAGGCCTTCTCCGAGAAGGGCCGGCGTTTGGACACGCTGCACGGGCCCTAGCAGAGAGAAACGAAACGAGTTCAGCATTTCGGGTTCCATGAGGGTTGCTGTCCAGCAGTCCAAACACGGGGCTAAAATCCACTTACTTCTTTTAAGATTGGGAGAAAGTCCCATGGTTCTTGGTTTGTTTGTCCTGACTTTGTCATGACCAGTCTTGCTGAATGTAATGAGCTCGTTACAGTGGACCCGTAGAGATCTTCCGCCGAAGAACCCCGTTGCCTCCGATATTAGCACGGGTTCAGGCTTCAGGGCTTAGGGTCTAGGGGTCCTCCTGCATCAATTGCTTGTTCAGACGTCCGACCCCAGCCCGTGACTCAAAAGGGTTTAGCGGTAGGCGTCATGGTTTGGGGCTATCCAGCTGTGTATGTTCAGGTTTAATTGCCCGAGCGACGTGGCACCGGGGGCCTCGTGTACCTTCAGAAGAGACAAACCCGAAGACCCTAAACAGAGAACGCCACGGGATTTGCTGTTTCGTCTAAACTATCGAGTCTAAACTTTAAGCCCTGTTTTAGTGTTTAGGGTTTAGCTTAGTTTTGCCCAGCAGCAGCTTAACAAACCCCAACGAATCCTAGCATTCAAAAAACGCCCGCCAAGAAAGAAGCAGAGACCGCCCAATTAGAAAACAGCACATCTGTCAACATGTCAATCTTAAAAAGCCTGTGGACGAGGAACCACCACATCTTTCACGCGCTCAATAGAGCCTTTCAATAGAAAACAACATACCTTGCGAACCACCAGTCCCAGGATGCGGAGCATCGCGGAGGTGCCAGAGCCCAGTGCGGGATTTCGAGATTCCGGCAGTCGTTAAGGTTCAGGGTTGTTGGGGTGTTGCGGTTAAGGCTTGCTCTGTATTTGATAGGGGGAGTTCGGGTTTGCAGGCTTTAAACTTTAGGTGCTCTCAGGTGCATCGCAGTGCTCTGGATGGAAGGTTCTTACTGAGGGGCCTTGCAAGGATCTTCCTCAAAAATGTGGTTTAAAGGAGGGCTTCGGACTCTAAGTAGGAGGTTTAGCGAAGCTTCACATCCGCGCACCCGAAGATCCTACAGCGAAAGCTTGCGTATCTCGGCGCCCCCTGGCCGGTGAAAATCGAGCCTAAACCCTAACCCCCCCCCCACACACTGAACCCTCACCTGAAACCTCCGGGTGTGAAAAACTGCGAGTTCGGAGAGCTGAGAAATCTCAAAGCTCCACAGGGAACCGCCTCAAGGTGCGAGTCCTGAACAAGGCAGTGAACCCTAAACCCTAGGCCGAAATGGGTAGGAAGTCCTGCAGCCAAGATTCTGAGTCTCGGAGGCCGAAGCACAGATCAAGCAGCGAGAGCAGCGATGTCAGCAGTTGCAGGCCAAGCGCAAGCCTGCTCTGTCTTGTGGTTTGTGGGTCGTGGGTTGTCTTTATTCATTATTCTATATCTATTTCTATAAATATTATGAGTATATTTGCATTAACTTTTCTGCATGCGCATGGTTAGGCGCTCAAAAGCTTATGCTCGAGGATCCAAATCTTTCTTAGGCAGGCTCTGGTTGAGCATTCCGGGTCCGGATGGTGCAGTGGGGATCCCTCCTGCCGGGATGCAGTTGCGAGAGCTTGAGGCTCGCAGGACGTTTGAGTCATGAGGGTTTGCGATTCTTCTCATAAGCAGGCCACAACCTGGGACCAGAGCCTGGGAAAGCGTGCAACCTTGAACTCTGAGCCCGAGACCCCCGACCCCAAAGCTCAGCAAGGATTCCGCCCAAGGCCCTGAACCCTAACCCCTATCCCAAGCCGGCTATCGAAAGAGCTCCTTACGGAACTCCCATAGAACCGTTCATAAAACTTCGAAGAGCCCTAAGCTCAAAACCCTAAGCCGAACCCAAGATCCGGGGCAGGCACATGTGTCGCAGCAGAAGTTGGAGCTGGCGCACCTCGACCTCGACTTCGAATGGCGCCCCAGATGCTTGTTTGTTTATGATCGCAATACGTACGGATGGTGATAAGGCACTAGCCATGACAAGTAACAAAAGCATACCACAGCCAATGTACTATCGATCTTCTTCTGCCCCTGCTGCTTCTTCTTCGTAGCTATACGATATTCATGCTTTGTTTGCACATGACACTATATTTATTATATAGATACTATATTTATTATACCATGTAGAAGACATAAGCAGCGCCTCGGAGGTGCTCGAAGCTTCTCGATTCGGCGGAGGCGCGGCGCGGTGAGCTGCAAGCGGCCCAGAGGACCTCCGATCGCCGCGAGATCTGCGCGGATCTTTCTGAGGATTTAGGGCTTGTAGGGTTCAGGGCTTGGGAGTGTAGCATAGAGTGCTTTTGCAGGGTTTAGGGTTTAGAGTTGAAGCATCTTGATCGGCAGAGTCTGGCTTCACAAGAGCTTAGTATCTTTCTCAGGGTTTAGGAAATTGAGAGGTTTTTGTATGAGCCTGCCCTTCACTCCTCCATCGCTTGGACAATAGAGGGTTCCAGGTTGTGAGGTCGCGTATCTCATGCTGACTTGGCCCGGGCTGCAGAACATCGCTTCGACAACAACGTGTCATTCCTGTTCTGTTCGTTCTGCCCGTTAGGGGCCCCACGCCAAGTGTCAAGGTCTACACCTAGGCTCGAAGCTCTAAGCCTTCATCGTCTGTCTGCTCACCAAGCCCCAAACAACCCTGACCCGCAAACCCCAACACTCTGGACTCCAAGCGTTCAAGGGAACTCCAACCAAAATCCCCAACCATGGCTGAGCTTGTTCTGCAGCTCCTCTGAAGGAAGCTCTTGGGCACACTCCACGGGAAAATGTACGAGACGCTCGGTTGACAACTCTCGGGTAACTAGGGCCGTTCAGGGCTCGGGGCTTTTCATGGCTTGGGGTATCTGCTGTCCCTTGGCGTTAGCAAGTAATGCAGAGGTCTGAATTCGCCCTAGTAAGTAATGCAGAGGTCTGAATAAGTGGGTCCACCAGCACCACAGGAAAAAGGGTGCCTTTATCATCAAGGGCTCCTTCGAGGATACAAAACGCGGGAACAGTTGAAAAAGGTAGACTTTAGCCCATAATGCAGCTTGACGCGCATAAATGTAGGATACTTTTTGTGGATTTTAGTTGTCAGATTCTTGCAGGATTCTGCGAGGAGCGGCATGAGATTGTGGTTAGTTTAGGGCTTAGTGCTTGGGATACTGCGAGCATGTTGGCTAGGGCATGCCAAGATTCAGCCGAATCCTAGGTCCTGTAAAACTGTAAGACCCTATAGGCCTTATCAGCCCTGTAAACCCTATAAACCCTGAACCTTCTGGACATGTAGTCTGTCGCCCTGCAAAATCAAGCCGGCAACCCTGAAACTCTGAAACAAGCCGAGCCGAAATCCGAACCCTCAAGGTCCAAAGAACGGTCCAGAGTTTAGGGTTTCAGGGTTTAGGGTTCACGGGTTGGGGTTTTGGGATTTTTAGGGTGTAGGGCCGTGTAGGGATTACATGATACTTCGTGACGAGATTCGCAAACATGGCGGCAAAGTCAGCTCGAGGACAGTTCTAAGTCAGTGATTTCGTTCTGTGTGTGGCCTTGTTCAGAGAACAGGTGCGACACATCCAGGCCCCAGGCGGGATTCACACGAGCCTCTGCAAAAGGGATTACAAGGATTACAAGGTTTAGGGTTTATAGGGGTTGGAAGAAAGCCTTATCAACATTTACCCCTAACCCGACATCCTAAAAACTTCGAGCTGTGGAACCCAAACCGAGAGATACTGGAATCCCTTAAGGTTTACGGTCCTCAGGACGCTGTCCAAGCAAACCGCACCGCGTTCACCCACGAGAACTGTAAAACAGGCACAAAGCTCCACAAAGCCCTTTACTACACACCTATGAAAAAGTCCCAGACAAGACCCAAAGCGCTCAGTGCGAGGTTGGCCGACGTAACGACCGCGCCCCTCACGTGCGAGCGCCCAGCACTCTCTAGAGACACTGTTTTGCCTCAAAGTTTCACTTGAGACTCTAGACCATACACATGCATATCTATGTGTGTCACTCCGAAGGCATATACGTACGCATATATCTGCACCCTTCGCAGTGCTTCCCTTGTCCTGACCGAGGTCCCGCGCGGTGGAAGGAAGCAGATCCCCTCGTGTACCAAACCCTTCAGCACCGTGCTTAAGATGAGCACGGTAGTAGAAGAGCCGAAATGGTGCAGGGCTTTAGGATGTTAGGGTTGGGGGTTTTCGGAAGGTAGCACAAGAGCCGAACTCGCTTAGAGCAGCTGTCGGCCTTTAGGGTTTTTAAGAGCTAAAAGGTTTTAGGGCACGGTAGTACAAGAGCAAGACCTGATTAGGAAAATGTTAGGAGTTGCCGAACAGAAAAATGGATCCGCAGGAAATTGCAGACCCTCGCTCTCGGCATTTCGTGCATAAAATTGTCTTTGCAGCAACTAGGGAGACTTTCGAGCAAAGGCACGCATGGAATAGAATCCTGAACATAAGGACCAACCCTAGCTTGAGAAGCCGCACAGACTTGGAAAAGCCGCTGGCGATTTCCCGGCTTGCAGGAGCTAAAAAAAAACGTAGATTGCGTATTTCGGCTCTTTCATTGCTGAGCAACTTGCGTTTCACTCCCACTGGGCACTTCCACCCTGATATGGTACGAGGGATTTCAACTTGGCACGCAAATGCTGGATCTAAACCCGAAACCTGAATTGCCAGTCAGTATGTTCTGAAGCACAGCCCCAAACCTTTATCCGGTCCTCTATCTATGTCCTAACAGTTCGCCCCGAAATCCTTAACCCTGCGGGGTTGTGGAGGTGTGGAAGAACACGATTCAGGACATCCTGCCGAACTGGGCAGGAGCTTTGATCCAAGCCTTGCCATCGAGAGAGTCTGTGGTTTGGGTTCACTATATACCTCTACACCCTAAGTGCAAAACCCTACACCCTAAACCTCGCCTGGCTTTGCCGAGTGTGAGCATCAAAGAACGCTAACCCGACCTTAAGTTAAGCCACTTACGTTCAGAGTTTAGGTTTCCGGTCGAGGGACCGGCATTAGAGTCCAGTTGTAAATGCCAGGAGAGCTCAAGTTGGAGATTTGCTTTCTCCCGACCGTTTAAATCGTAGCAGTCCTTCCATGACTTCCATGTACCCCCAGGAAAAATCCTACATGGAACCCCTCTGAGCAGAGCTTCGAGCGGAGTTCCCGAGCTCAAATCAAAATCCAGGGAGGCTTAGGTTACGGGCGTCTCAATAGTCAACTACTACTCTAAAGCCCGCTGTAGCCCTTCTACAAATGCAGGATAAAAAACACCACCAATAAACCCTGTTCTAATTAGTGTTCCGACCCCTATATAGCCGATATTTTTTTGGAGTTTAAGGTTCAATATATATATATATATATATATATAGATGTATATTTATGTAGGTATGTATTATATATACATTTCTTATATGCATATGTTTATACATCGGCGATTGTAAACGGGTTGCTGTCAACAGAAGCTCGCGGTTTCGCGGCTGAAGCATTAAGGTGTAGGGAATTTAGTGCTTAGGGCAGTGCCTTCCGCGTCTTGGGGACAAGCGTGCGAGGGAAGGCTCGGCTGCAGAAGTTTGATGTGCGGCCGCGCGCCTGTCGGCGCAAGAGGGCGAAAACAGAGCCGTTTCCCTAGAGTGGTATCTATATATGTACATATACATATACAGACATATGCACACACACTTATTTTATATATATATATATATATATATATACGTATGTGTATGTATATATATATATATATATACATATACATACACTATATATATATATATATATATATATATGTATGTATGTATGTATGTATGTATTGCTGTACTCTGTCAGACATTTGGTATAGTTCAAATTACTTTGCATATATTTGTATGTATGCTTGTATGCATGTACGCTTGTATGTATGTGTGTACTTGTTCATATGTGTGGTATACACGCACATGTTTGCGTGCACATACGCGTACATACATGCATATGCATATGCAAACGTACATGTCTCTGTACATGTATACGTATATGACTGTATATGTATACATTTTAATTTACACGTCATGTGTTTGTATTCTCTGTATAAGCAGAATCTAAACCCGAAGACCTGTGTGGATCTCTGCCCGCCTTGTGCGAGTTGCGAAAGTCGAAACTCAATATGTTTTTGCGGGAGCCTCGCATGTGCTGTTCCACACTGGATCCCCCATACTGCAACACCTCAAACCCTAGACACTAATGGTACCTCAAGCAATGCTGGCGGGATCTACCGAACAAGGCTCGAAACCCTTATTCCGTAGATCCCATGGCTATGACTTGAGGTACCCCTAAACCCTACACCCTTATACTGTAGATCCCACCATTAGCACTTGCGGTAATTGAATCGCTTCAAAGCTTCGACCAGCTATCGCAATTCCCTTCGACCCGAAGCCACAGTCCGCACTTTACTCGAACATCCTAAACCCTTAAACCCTAAGCCCCAAACCTTAAACCCTAAAGATAGATAGATAGATGGCCACATGTTGGGATGGGTGTTTGGAGGGAAGCGAAAACTCAAGCACTTACTGCAAGCCACGCTTCCAATTACAGCCAAACTTGCATCTACTCTTCTTGAGCTCCGAAATTCAGTAGTGTTGAGACATACGTTCTGGGACGCATCGAAGCAAGAAATTTCTCACACGCGGCAGCATATGGCAGCTGCTGCGGCCCAGAGGGATATTTAAGCATATGCACGTGTAGGCTCCATCGTGTATCCATGTCGATTTGTTTCGTGCTGGGATGATCCCATGCCGCTATTTCCCGGACTGCTAGTTTAACGAGCCCAAAAATGCAGCAGCTACTTGGTGTGCACCACCCGAGCCATAAACCCGATGCACCCAGAGCATAAGAGCTGTAACAGCCCAAAAGAGCCCCAGGGTCCATAAGAACTGCGATGGAATTAGGGCTTGTCGGGTCGAATACAAAGCCCTGAAGGGGCCTCAACCCGCGTGCCGGGACTTTGGGGGTATGGCCGCAGCAGCTAAGAGGAGAGTGCCCTGAGATGGCTGGAGACGTCGAGGCTTCTCGATCTGCGATGCTCTAGGGTTTTGAGTTGAAGGGTTTACTACAGGGGCCTAAATAATTACCTATACTATTGTGGTGGTTCCTGTTTGTAATGATACAGTGTAAGTAATGATAGTATGACGGGCCGTCGGTCGTTGTAGTTGACCTGCATTGGAGACGATGGGCAGGGTTTTCGTAGACTTCGGAGTGGCGGGATCAAGCATTGCATGGACCTGTGTCCAGAACTCTAATATGTGATTGGAAAACGCAAAGGACTTTTAGCCCCGTCAATCTGTGGATGTAGGGGCTTTGAGTTTTTGAGTTTGGGGTTTTTGGGGATTAAGATGCATGGGTTGAAGGGTTTAGGGGGTTAGGGGTCCTTGCGCATCAAAGCTTTTCCTGCAACGCGGACAGTGGACGCCGCCGGCCGCGAAAGCCGCCCAAGTTCAAGGAAGGGGATGTTAACAAAGCACTGTCGGACAAAATACTCGAAACACTGCTATGTCGTATCATAAGGATCAGTCCATCGTAGTGTTGTATAACACGCCCCATGCGTTGCTGAGCCTTTGGCTCGACAATTAAAAAGCCGGTATGGAGAGCCATGGACGCTATGCAGTATGGCTACTTCGGCTTGCAGGTGGCTCATCTTTTCTCTTCGTTTTGATCGGCTTCCCCTGTGCAACTTTCAACTGGGATGTGTGTTTTCGCGGCAACTCCTTGATGAACACCGTCCTGGGCCTGACAATCCCTCTGCTCGCTCCCAGCAACAAGACAGAAGGCTTGCTTCGAGTTTTTCTGTTGCTGAATTCCTTCGGCATGTTCACAGTGTCACTGCACTGGTGCTCAGACTTCGACTCATGGGCTATCGGTACGGTCATTTCGATTCTGTACCAGACTCTCAGCGGGATTGTGCTTGTTAAGACTCACGTGCGAGAGCACGTTGTGTTGCACACCGTCGGAACCGTTGCTTGCTACATGTTTCGGGTCGAAGCTTCTAACTCACTGATGGAAGGCCGTCAATGGGCGGCGATCATGGTGTCAGTGGGGGTGTTGTGCGTTTCCGTGATCTGGCTAATGGCCAGAGACCTTGCCGGAGAGGTTGCATTGAAAACACTGGAAGATCATGTGGCCGCGTTGCGGATTCCGCTCGATAAGCTTGAGCAACGCGCATCGGCGCTATCAAGCGGCGCAAGCACCCGAATATCTTCTGGCTCACGCCCACGCACGGCAGGCTCGCCAATAAAAGTCAGCAAGTTTGATCTGCCTGACGGTGGTCCGCCGAATTTGGAGCTTCTACATTATGTCAGTGAAGGTTCCTTTGGCAGAGTCTACTGCTGCAATTGGGGCGGCCAGCGCGTAGCTGCCAAGGTAATGGCCTTGCAGCCAGGGCACCGAGTCGATCCGCTCAGAGACTGGGCTTTTTGGAGTACCATACTTTACAACTTTTTTCTCAAAGGAACTATTTCATAAATACAAGTTTACACTTGTTTTACCTTTTATCTCCCTGGTTACTGGAAAGCCCAGGAGAGGCTACTCTTTCCCAGAAGCTCTCCCACGACAACCTCGTCCAGACCTACGAATTCTTTGAGCACTCGGCAGACACCGCGGATCCAGGCTGCAGCGTGCAAGTCTGGATACTCCAAGAATGGTGCGACAAAGGCACTCTTAGCAGTTTCTGCACCATCCCTCGGCGGGATTCGAGTGGCCTGAGATACGTCAGGTGCATTATGTCAGATGTGGCGAAAGCCTGCTGCTATTTGCACTCAATTGGCGTCATCCATGGCGATCTCACATCGCAAAATGTTCTCCTGCAGACACGTGCGCCGGACCACGCAGGGGAGATAGAGTTTGTTTGCAAGCTTTGCGACTTTGGTTTGGCACGGGTCTTGGAGCAGGGTGTCACCTCACTGATGACTGCACAGCTGGGGACCGTTTCGCACATGCCACCCGAACTCCTGGACTTCGATGACGGGCGCCTGAGCATGAAAGCAGACGTCTATGCCATGGGTATCCTGCTCTACCAGGTCAGGGGCCCAAAAAAGGACGTAAGCATAAGCCTTCTAAAGGGATATCCCTACCTTATTACTGACCTTCATTATGAGGGGGTTTATATGTGATATCCCTATCCTCGCGTTTGCTTATGTGCGTTTTTGGGGAGCCCTGCCAGGTAGTTTTGGGAAAGCTGCCTTATGCAGGGATGCTGGCACCGCAAATCATCGCCTTTGTGGGATCGGGGGGCTGCCTTGAATTACCTCCAGAGCTACCTCATGAGGTTCGCAGGATGTTTGAACTCTGCATCTTGGTAGCTTTGGATCAGTCGCCTTCAACTGTTTGATGTGCCGAAATCCTAGTCAGACCGATTGAGTTTCCTTTAAAGAAGGTCGCCTTCAACTGTTTGGTGTGCCGCGATCCTAGTCAGACCGATGAAGTTTCCTTTAAAGAAGTTGCAATCCAAAGTTTAGTTTGTCCGTCGGAAGTTAGGATGTAAGGCCCTATAAACCCTAAACCCCTAAACCCTAAACCCAGCTGTAAGGCACAGCCAGATCCTCGAGTCACCGTCCCTCTGCTCTTCAGCTTCTGAACCATTGCGCTGCGATTTCACCGTGACGGGCATATATAGGGGGTTGTTAGTTAGGTATGTTTTATGCATGGCCGCCACTTTGGCCTTCTGAGTCATGCGAAGAGAGAGTTTCACTACAATGCGTGCTCAAGGCATGCACGTGCTACTCCGTCATCGACCCATTTTCCCAACAGGGGCTGTTCCAAGCTGCACATCCGACTGGCTCATTTTCTCGACTCCGTACTTCCGGATTATGCCTCAACTAAAGAGGGGGGGAGTTTATATATTGTAATCCAAGGTTTCCTTCGTCGAGTAAGGGAGGTCTTGGGCTCAAGGTTCCGGGGCAGCTTGGACGACAGGGAGGCGCCGGCTCCTCGCCTCGCTGGCCCGCTGCGGCCAAGTAGTCTAATATCGTGGAATCTCGCAGGAAAGACAAAAAGAGGTGTGGTGTGCGGTAGGTTTGACTGTCTGTGGACACTGAAACAGCAAGGTGTGAGCATCAGACCCCTCCGGAAAGGCTTGGCAGCCGAAGGCCCTTCCCCTTATGATTCCCCAAAACCCTCTCCGTTATGGTAGAGCTTCCGAACACATCTGGAATCCAGTGCCCTGAAAATAAAGTTTCAAACTGCCTGGAACCCTAAATCCTAAAAGTTCTTAGCCCACTAAAGTTCGTGCCCACGAGATTTCCGGTTCAAGCTTTAGGATCCCACACTCCTTCAATACCGAAGAGTTTAGGGCCAGGGAAGACCCAAAGCTCAAAGCCTAAAGCCATGGAGCTCAAGCTGTATAGGCTAAGTGGCTGGGGTGTTCGCAGGCTCTTCACCTGGTATACCCAAGATCGCGTTCTGGCAGAAGGCAGGTGTTAATATTTTGGAAGATCCAAAATCACAAGTCGCACGGGGTGTCCCCCTCAGGTTTTGTAAGAACTCAGATCCAGAAATCACGGATCGCAAGGGGTGTCCCTCTAAGGTTTGTACGAACTCCGATCCAAGAATCACACATCGCAAGGAGCGTCCCCCTAAAAGTGTTTGTAAATCATCCACCCTCTCCCTCTCACTTGCCTCCTACCTCCCCCACTCCTAACTCATTCCTTCCCTTCCCATCTCATTTCTCCTCACTTCCAATCACTTTTTCTCCCATCCACTCATCTTCTTATCATCTTCTTATCACCTTCATCACTTTTCTCTAATGTCTTATAGGGTCTATAGATCCCATATAGAAAAGCTTCATAGATATATAAACCTTATATACAAATCCTCAAAACAAAGAATTTGTAGGATCCCACAAATGGGGCCCTTTATAAACATGTTTAAAAGATCCATGATATGGAGCCCTCAAAAACAGTCTTTATATACTCCTTATAGAAATCTGTAGATCCTCTGTATACAAACCACATAGAAGCCCTCTATAGATCCCTCATATGGAGCCCTTTGTAGAAAGCCCTTAAACTATAGAATCCAAAGAACACACCCACCCTCCACTCCCTCTACCTCTCCACCCATCTCCCCACTCCCTCCTCTTCCCCTCCCTTTGTCCACCCACCCTCCCCTCCTCCGCGCTTCTTCATTAACCCGTAACCTTTCCCCATTGCCATCTCACTCCTCTTTGCTCCCCTTGCCCTCCTGCCCCTACCAGCCTTTACCTCCCTCTTCCCACCCCTCTCCGCACCTTTTCCTTGCGCTCCCTCTACCTCCTCTCTCCACCCACCCTCTACTCCCTAGACCTCTCCACCCATCTTGCCATTCACTCACCCAACCCACGCAGCCCGGCCAGGCTCCCCAGCTGGCCCTGCCTCAACAAGCCTGGTGTGCTGGCCGCGGCGAGATGGCCAATCTCAAAACCCAGGCTCCAGCAGGCCCCTGCCCACCCTCGAGAGCCCACCAGGCTCAGCAAACCAGGCCACAGGCAAGCCTACGAGCTGGCCGCCGTCAACAAGCTGTCTATCGCTTTTTCTTATCCACTTTCACCTATTCCCTCGCTTCAGTCCATGCCCTACCCTTCACTCCTTTCCAGACCCTTCTGATATGAGTAAAATGAGAGGAGGAAGTCAGAGGGACGAAGAACAGCTCTCTCCATTACTTTCTCTCATCTGCTGTGACCCCTTCCCTTTCCTAGCTCCATGCATGCCCTGCGCGAAGAGAAGAATAAGAGAGAAAGGAGGAAGAGCAGAGGGGAAACTGGCTTCCTCTCTTTCATTACGTAGCATTTCTTTTGGCCACCCCTTCCCCCACTTCTCGTATCTTCCTCTCTCTTCTTCCTCTGCTGGGCTTGAGGCTCTCTCTCGCCCTCTCTGCATCTCTCTTCTTTCTGGCGAGCGGACGAGCGGTGGGAGAGGAAGGGCACAAGGTGAGTGAAGAGGAGAACATTTCTTCCTAGTTTTCCTTCACAACCTCTTCCAGGTTTATCACCAATGAGACAGTGAGATAGGACAAGCAAGGCACTTTCGACTGTTTTCTGCATCGCTTCCCTTCCCCTCCGCTCTCTTTCTCTCTGCCTCTCTTTTTGATGGTCTTTCCCTCGTACTTTCTCTCTTGGTTTCTGTAGTTGTTTCCTTATGGCTCTCGTTCTTCTTCTGCCCTTCTCGGATTCTCTCTTCGCTTCTGTTGTCTTTTCTCTTACTCCCTTGTCTTCTTCCTTGTGAATCGTCCTTCTTCCTTCTGAGTGATAGAGGGAGAAGGACGGCAGGCAGGAAAGGCAGGACGAGAAGGACTAGGCAAGCGACTATATCAAAGCGAACATAATAGGCGGAGAGAAGCGGAAAAGGGAATATGCCGAAGTAGACGAGAAGGAAGGGAGGGAGAACGAAAGAGGGCTCTGGAGTACCGTACTTGGCTATTCATCTTGTGTTGCTGCTTCAAGCGGGGCGGGGACGTTTCAAAACAGTTTGTAGGGTACTGCGAAGTATGTTGTCATCTTTCCGGGGCCTGCTGCTTGCCAAAACCACCCCAGTAGCACAGAGCCTCCATGCAACAGCGGGGCGTTGACCCGAGTGGAACAACCACAGAGTGTCAGCTCAGGCAGCGGGGCGAGAGCAATAACTAGGGACCACTAGTCACTAGTATGTCGTGTAGCCTGTAACCTTTGTTGTGTAAGCCCGAAGCTCTGCCCGTGGAGAGCCCGACACCTACTGCACGTAAAACCGTGCGTAGAACCAACAGAACGGGCAGCGGGGGCTTGCCCTCAAGCCAGGGGAAAGGATCTGCAGAGAACAATGAAAAGGAGGATGGATGAGGTGATGAGAAAGAGTGGCCTTTGCATGCCCTGTACTCTCCGTCCCTTTCATTTCTCCTTCCTTATGAAGATGAGTAGGATAAGAGAAGAGGAAGAAGGCGAAGGGCAGGGAAATAAGAGAGGCGAGCGAAGGAGGAATTCTCCTTTCTTCTCCGAACCGTCTTCCCGCATCTTACCGCTTCCTTCCTGTTGTCTGCTCTTCTTTCCTTGCTTCTTCGCAGAGCCATTCCTCCTTCTTATCCTTCTCTTTCCTTTGGTCATTCAAACAGGAAACGAGGAGGAGACGCGGCCTGATTCTCCTCCTTCTTACCACACCCTGCTTCTCTACATCCCCCTGCTTTCTTTATACTCGCTTTGGTGTTCATGTCCTCGGGAGGCTCCCTTAGGGAGGAAGGTTGGTGGCCTCCAGAAAGTAGCGGAAGTGCCTGAAGGCGCCTACAAGCCTTCTCAAAGCCCTCGCGAGGCCCGGAGTCCTTTGAGATACGGCAACACTGGTACTCTCTCGCTTCCTCTTTGTGTCCTTCTTCGTAGTCTTCCTCGTTTCTCTTTCTTTCGCACTCGCCTTCCCCCACTCTCTGTCTATGACTTTCTCTTATCCACTTTCACCTATTCCCTCGCTTCAGTCCATGCATTACCCTTCACTCCTTCCAGACCCTTCTGACATGAGTAAGCATCAGAAGAATGAGAGGAGGACGTGAGAGGGACGAAGAACAGCTCTCTCCGTTACTTTCTCTCATCCGCTCTGACCCTTTCTTTTTCCTAGCTCCGCGCGGGCCCTGCGCTAAGACAAAAATAAGAGAGAAAAGAGGAAGAACAGAGGAGAAAGGGGCTTTCGCCCTTTCATTACGTAGCTTTGGCTTACGTTTCTTCCTTGTGAATCGTCCTTCTTCCTTCTGAGTGATGGAGGGAGAAGGACGGGAGGCAGGAAAGGCAGGAGGAGAAGGAATAGGGCAAGCGACTATATCAAAGCGAACATAATAGGCGGAGAGAAGCGGAAAAGGGAATGTGCAGAAGTAGACGGGAAGGGAGGGAGAGAGAAAGAGGGATCTGGAGAGAACAATGAAAAGGAGGATGGATGAGGTGATGAAAAAAGAGTGGCCTTTGCATGCCCCGAATTCTCCCTCCCTTTCATTTCTCCTTCCTTCTGAAGATGAATGAGGGTAAGAGAAGAGGAAGAAGGCGAAGGGCAAGGAAGTAAGAGAGGCGAGCGAAGGAGGAATTCTCCTTTCTTCTCCGAACCGTCTTCCCGCATCTTACCGCTTCCTTTCTGTTGTCTGCTCTTCTTTCCTTGTTTCTTCGCAGGGCCATTCCTCAATCTTATCCTTTTCTTTCCTTTGGTCATTCAAAAAGGAAACGAGGAGGAGACGCGGCCTGATTCTCCTCCTTCTTACCACACCCTGCTTCTCTACATCCCCCTGCTTTCTTTATACTCGTTTTGGTGTTCATGTCCTCGGGAGGCTCCCTTAGGGAGGAAGGTTGGTGGCCTCCAGAAAGTAGCGGAAGTGCCTGAAGGCGCCTACAAGCCTTCTAAAAGCCCTCGCGAGGCCCGGAGTCCTTCGAGATACGGCAACACTGGTACTCTCTCCCTTCCTCTTCTGCGTCCTTCTTCCTAGTCTTCCTCGTTTCTCTTTCTTTCGCACTCGACTTCCCCCACTCTCTGTCTATGACTTTCTCTTATCCACTTTCACCTATTCCCTCGCTTCAGTCCATGCATTACCCTTCACTCCTTCCAGACCCTTCTGACATGAGTAAGCATCAGAAGAATGAGAGGAGGAGGTGAGAGGGACGAAGAACAGTTCTCTCCGTTACTTTCTCTCATGAGCTTTGACCCTTCCCTATCCTAGCTCCATGCATGCCCCGCGCTAAGAGAAAAATAAGAGAGCAAAGACGAAGAACAGAGGAGAAAGGGGCTTCCGCCCTTTCAATACTTAGCTTTGGCTTACGTTTCTTCTGGCCACCCCTTGCCCCCTTCTCTTATCTGCCTGTCTCTTCTTCCTCTGCTGGGCTTGAAGCTCTCCCTCCTGTATCTCTCTTCTTTCTGTCATTTCTCAATCTCGTCCTTTCCCTTCTCCACTTTCCTTCCTGGTTCCCACTTTTCCGCCAGACAAGAAAATCAAAAAAATGGAGAGCGGGCGAGCGGTGGGAGAGGAAGGGCACAAGGTGAGTGAACTTCTTCCTTCTGAGCGATAAGGGGAGAAGGACGGGAGGCAGGAAAGGGAGGAGGAGAAGGAATAGGGCAAGCGATGGGACACAGAGAGTGGGAGAAAGTTAAAGATAAATATGAAAGCAAGCATAATGTAGTAGTCGAGAGAAGCGGAAAAGTGAATGTGCAGAAGTAGAGAGGAAAGGAGGGAGGGAGGGAGGGAGAGAGAGAGAGAGAGAGCGAGCGGGAGATGGACAACACAATGAACACGAGGAAGGAGGAGATGATGAGGAACAGTGTCACGTTCTCCTCCAGCTGTCCGTTGTTGTCGCTTCTCCTTCTAATTCTGAAGAAGAATAGGAGCCAAGAAGAGAAGTCAAGGGCGAAGAAAGTCAAAGAGCCGAGTGAGGGAGGAATCCACCGTTCTTCTCGCAGCCATCTTCCTCCATCTTATGTCTTCGCTTCTGTTTTCTTTTCCTTCCAGCAAGGGAGCAAGGAAAGAGGGGACGGAAGACATGAGAGAGCGAGACATGGCAGAGAGGAAGACAGCGAGAGCGAGAAAAAGAGAGAGAGAGAGAGAGGGAGAGAGAGAGAGAGAGAGAGAGAGAGGGAGAGAGAGAGAGAGTGACAACGTGAGAGGGAATGAAAAAAAGGAACCACATCGAGAGGAACTGACGTCGTCCCTTTGCGCCTCCTTCGTGTTACCCCTGTCATTGAAAGCAGAAGGCGCGAAGAAAAGAAAGAGAAGAAGGATCAATCAAAGGAAGGAGAGAAGGGAGAGACGAGAGAATGAAGAGTTCACTTCGTCCATCTTCATGCCTATTCCTCTGTCATGACTTCAATTTCTGTGTCTTCTTGACAAACGGCAGTGTGGATAGGCAGGAAGAGGAAAGGGAATGAGAGAAAGAAACAGGACGAGAGATACACACAAGAAATATTCTTGATGGTCATTGTGATAGACCCTAAAACCAGCACCGAGAACCTCGCCTGGCATGTCCGCGTTGTGAGAGCGTAAAACCATCTAAATCCTGAAAAGCTCCAAACCTTAGCTCTTCCATAGTGTACCGACCCCGGTAGACCATAGTTAGGAGCTAAGGCTAAAACCTTAGACCCTCAGACTCCTCTCGAGTCCTTTACACTGTACACGCTTCGGCCTCCCGATGTAACCGTCATGCCAGACCTTGTCGTCGTCGTCGTCGTACTGAACCCGGTCGTCGTCGTGCTAAACCCAGTCGTCGTCGTCCTTGTCGCCGTGGTGTTGTTGCAGTTTAAATACAAAGCCCAGCAGGATTGCCAAATAGACCTTAAAGGTCCATGCCACAGAGGCCTACGGCGGCTTCTTGTGAGTCACTAGAGTGTCCGAGTTGCCTCGACTCGCAACACCTGACGTCTGAGACAAAATCTGCTGAAGCCGTTTGTCGGCGTCGGCCGAGCTATTGGCATCGACCATCTACGCTTAGGTGACGACCACGAGCACGATCCTGTAAAGCAAGTCGGCATCAAACCTAGTACTACTGATTGTACTTGCTTGATTCTGCTTGGTTTCTGTACGCAGGCCAGACACGTGCACTTCGCCGGTCGCGCGGCTCCTGTGCTGCACTCCATCGTTGCGTTACATGAGCCGTCGTGCAGCGGGGCAGGCCAAAAAAAATCCAACGACCCCACGTTTTGTCCTTCAAAGACACTAAAGCTCTGCAGCTCGCCACAAATCGGCCGGCCAGCATTCTTACAAGGTTGGCAGAAGATCTGTGAACCAAAGCCCTCAGCACTCAGCACCGGTATTAATGAATGTACATCCACCGCAACTGTGCGCCTCAAAGTGTGGGGCTATTTGCCAACGTTGAACTGATTTCCTCCGTGTCTCCGATGCTCTGGAGGGTCCGGAGAGCAGAGCGGCGCTCACAAAGTGCAGGAAGTAAATGCTGTTCCAGGCCCTCTGGATCAAGCACGATGTCCTTTTAAGGCCCTGCCTGATATACCAATTTTTTTGTCGTGTTCGTGGTGTGCTCAGCCGACTTCCCCGGCCCGAATAGAAAAGCGCTGATACACTGCTACGTCAGCCGGGGATCGGGGAAGGAGTAGCCCGCGCCACGTGCACAAAGTCAAGCGAGGCAGCCATCCTGGATCATTGAGGTGCTAGGGCAACGCTCTGGAGTCTCCTCGGAGCTGCCTTTGCTTCAATCGCGGATGGCAAAGTGGCCGAGACGAGTTCAAATAGCGATAAAGTGAGCTGCGATCTGCCGGGACTTCTGCACGGCTTGATTGATTCCCAAAGCATCATAGTAAGGATGTTTTCCTGGCGCCATCCAATCAACAGCCTTCAACTCAGGATCCTCTGTTAGGCGTAGTTTCTCTACCCAGTGTGCTGGGTTGCAGAAAACTGACTGAGTGGTTGCATCCCAGCATGTGGGGGTTGGTGTTCGGAGGGAAACACAAACTCAAGCACTGCCTGCAAACCACGCTTCCCAATTGCAGCCAAGACATGAGCTCCGATAGTCACTGCTAGGCTTGGGACGCGTCAAACTCTGACATTTCCCGCTCGAAGCAGCTGCTGCGGCTCAGAGGTATATGCGCGAGCGGACTCCATGGAGCACCCATGTAATTTGAGTGTTTTAAGATGGTCTTGTTTCCCCATGAGACATGAGTTGCACAGTGTTGGCGCCAAGAATGCAGCCACGTGTCGTACACCTGCCACCTAGGCTCCTCAACACTATACTCCTGTGCGCCTGGAACATGAGAGCTGTAAGAGCCCCAACAGACTACCAGGGGCTCTGTAATAAAGACCCACGAGAGAATTCGGGTTTAAGATTGGGGCCTTATCATACAGCCCGAAGCCCCGCAACCCGTGTGTCGGGACTTCTTTTGGGGCGATGGCCGCAGCAGCCAAGCGGAGAGCGCCCTGAGATGGCTGGAGACGTCGAGGCCTCCCGGGCCCTTGTGACTGCTTGGGGCCTGTATAGGGTCTTGGGTTTAGGGCGTAGAGGGCAGCTATCCAATATGCGCGCGGCTCACTTCCCAAGCCCCAGTGCAAGAAGGGGGTAGAAAGTAAAAAAGTATTTGACCTATAAACACAGAGGCCGGACCACCGCAAAAGGTAGACTCGAATTTCCGCAATGCTGTGCTTGGTGTAACTAGCAATGCTCCAAAAGTTACCCCCGAAACCCGATGGCATGATCGCTGCTATTCAGAGATTTAGCATCTTGGGCTTGGCTGCTTTCAGAGCTCGGAAAGCAGAATCCTAGACGGCTGTGTCACCCGGGGTCAGGCCTAGGGCCAGGTGTGAAAGAAAAATCGCGCACAACTAGCTGCAAGTAGAATTTGATCGATCCCAAAGCCTCCAGAACTTCTCACACTTCAAGAGTCGTCTCGTCTTTGCCGCTGTCTCTAGACCTGCTCTGCTTGCTGTTTATATAACTCCAAACTCAGACTCTGAGTTCTGGAGGGTCCAGGCTTTGGGGTAGACGCGCAGTCCTCGATAAGCCTCATGCTGGCAGCCACGCTCTGGCTCAGTGCTTGCACGCATAAAGCGGAAGCCTTTTTTCAACTATGAATCTCCAAACCAACCCCCTATGCTCTTAAGCTCTTGTTGCACTGTAAATCCTGAAGCCTGGGCCACCCCGCCATGCGCGCTTATCCTTGGCCAAGTAAGAGACTAAATTCTGAATTTACAGCCTTACTGTTTTTTCTCAGGCCAGCAACATTCGGGTGGCTGTTCGCTGTCGGCCCTTCAATGCTCGAGAGCGGGCAGAGGCTTGGGGCACTAGGTTTTGCTGGTCACTTAAGGCTCGGATGTTAGGGCTCTTGAGGCAGAGTGGTTTAGGGTTTAGGGTCCAGTCCAGCGCATTGGGCTTCTTTGGCCACTTAGCGATTTAGGTTTAGGTGAGCTGCTGGAGATTGGCTTTCTTGCTCAGCAGCCGAAGTTCCAAGGGTTTTGCTGATGTGCTTCTTGCTCGATACTTGAATGCGGGGGGGCAGTAAGCCTATAGCAGCCAAGGCCGCCAGCACTACAACACAGATCCGGGACCTAAACCAGAAGATTGAAACCGAATAGCTTAGGCTCTAAAATCTCTTAAATTTCCAAACCCTGCCCTGGCACTGTGAACCCTGAAGCCTTAGATAGAATACGGCTTTGAGGTATATTTGGGCGATACTGTATCGCCATGAAGAGCCTTAAACCCCTAAACCTTTGCCTGGAAAACCCTAAGACCCAGGGGGCCGTCAAGAATGCCCTGGCCTGTGATGAGACTTCGATCCAGGCCACAAGAGTCACAAGAGGGCTCGAAACAACTTGGTCTTGCTTTTGTGTTGTCTACTTGGTCTGGCGAGTTTTGGGGGCTTTATAGTGCTTCTATAGGAAGGATTTAGGGCCTGCATAGTCTCTACGTTGCCCCATGCCGGATGTTTAATTCAGAAGCTAGTTCAGATAGTACTTCGGAAGACAGTTCAGGGGATCTTCGACGCTTCTTCACTTCTCGTGTTTCTCTCACTCCCGCGTTTGCATCCCTCGTCAAACGAGAAGGCCCTGCTGTTCACACAATCCAAGCCCATGCTGAAAAAGGGGTTTCTGCATTTCGCTTGTCAGTGCTGTTTGGCACACTCACCCAGCAGCACTACAGCAAACCTGGCTGCAGATTCTTTGTAAGGGTTTGAGTTTTTCTATGGTTCTTATACTCATAATAAACCCTTAACTCAACCCGAACCCTTTCAGCCCTGACCTTCAAAGCCTAAAGCATAATACGGCTTAAGGTTTAGAGTTTGGAGTTTGAGGATCTAGGCAAGGTTTAGGTTGCCAGAGCGTCGAGGGTCTTGTCTGCTGCAGGTGATGGAGTGCACGCGGCTGCCGAAGGAGTTCAACTACGACCATGTCTTTGGATGTGCAGATACTCAGGAGGCTCAGTACTTTCCTGCGAGAGTCATTGCTTCGTGTTTGTCGGCTTAATATTCCACTGTTCCCCGCTGTCGCCCCTTTGCTGCTCCTGCTCCGGCTCCTCGACTTTCTCCATCTACTGCCCAACTTGCGATGGCGATCGACATTGCCATTCCTGCTGCGGCTGCTGCTTAGAATGCTGCTGCTGCTGTTGCTATTTCGACAACGACTGCTCACCACTTTCGCTGCGGTGTGCTACAACACGCACGGCTGAACTTGTTACGATGTGCCCCTCCTCCTTCCCGTCTGACCCCGTCCTTTGCAGTCACCTACGACGATAGTACCACTACAACTCCTGTTTCTACCAACTAACTTCTGTGTCCTGCTACAGCTAGTGCTACTACTCTGGCTATTGCCAGAATCACTGCGTTGCTCCGTCGAGCTGTATCCGGAACTCGTTTTGGGGGATATGCTTGTAGCATGGCGACACCAAAAAACGGCCAGACTACCAGACCCTGAGGCACTAAAGCTCGAAAGCTCCAATCCCTGAGTCTGAAATTCCATGGTTGCAGAACAACTCTCAGCCCGGGCCCTAGCCCGAAAGCTGCAGGTGGTGTTCCAGGCAGTCGGCCTGCATCTGCTGGAGAACGCCATGAATGCGTGCCCACGAAGCATGCGAAGCAATTTCAAGAGCAAGTACTCCTTGTTGCTCCTGTCACAGCCCCCATAGGGAAAGATGAGGTCAGTCATAAGAACTCAATGTAGGCTGAAATTGTCGTCGTCATTTACTCCAAGCGAGCAACGAGTGGCATTTCAGGGATCAGGGATGAACAATCTCAAGCATGTAGCGAATGAACCTTGCCCAACACAGTTGTGTTCTTCAGAGCCCTGTCAATCCCCGTGTGTTTTGCTTGATCGTGCTGCCAAACAACTCGAAGCCCTTGGAGGTTTGATGTTTACGCAGGTTCAGGGCCAGACAGGTGAGATGCTGCCGTCTGGCGAGCAGGGCTCGTCGAACCCGCCAAGAAATACGAGCATAATGTATGCTAGGCTCCGAAGACTTAGTAATGGCAGTATTGAGGCACCCATACTCAACACGAGCTCGAACCTTGAGGCTTCGCATCTTTGGAGTTGAAGGTTTAGGGCACAGAGTGCCAGGTACAACGGGTGCATCTTCGCTTATGGTCAGACGGGCTCGGGCAAGAGTCACTCCATCATGGGCGATGTGGACAGCAAGGCCTTGTTGTGTGCTGGCGTTGATTTTGGGGTTCGCACTGAACCCTCGCGCTAAAATCCAAATCTTGAACGCTTTAACCTTGTCCAAAATCTTGAATCCCAAATTCACCGTCGAGAGTCGCTGTTATCTCCGGCTTTAAGTTGGCATATGGGTGCCGTTCATCACTGCTATGTTTTTATGGCACACAGTATAGCAATCGAGACGCTGTTTTCCGAAGCACTATACCCCTGAGACCCGGATACTTGTCACACCGTCAGTCGTTCCTGAGACCCTCCACCCAGCTCCGAGCAACCCTAGGCCCTAAGCCGGAAGGCCACCAAATTCCTACCCTACAGCGAAGAGTGACACATCGCTATGTCTAGCCGCCTAGCCTGTATACTTTAGCCCTAAAGCCTGCGTACGGTAGTATCTCATAGAACTCTCATAGACCCTGATAAACCCTGGTAAGGCCATGTAAAGCCGTGTAAAACCCACACACAAGCAAGGAGATCTCCAAATGAGCTGTGCAGGTCGAACAGGGCATCCTTCCGCGGGCCTGCATCCGCTTGTTCTCCATGCTGGCTGGGCCGCCTGGGATTTAAGAGTTGTGGTTTAGGGTGACAAAGACGGGCTATGGCTCAGAGTTCAGGAATTTTTTGTTTGGCGGCCTGAAGTGGTGATGCCCTTTAAAGTCGAGATTTTGAGGTTTGGGGTTGAGAGTCTAGGCCTGAGGAGCGTAGAGTTTGCGGTTTAGTTTGAGGTTTCTGAGGCTCCGGGTTTGGTGAAAATAGAAGCAAATGCAGCAGGTGAATAGCCCTAAACCAACGAAACCTGGGCTGCTAGGATTGTTAGCAGAAACCAGAGCGACCTTTCTGTGTGTGAATCTGAGGCGCCGGGAGCGATTTAGGAAGGATTTAGGTTGAGGTTTCAATCTTGAGGTTTATTGTCTCTAAGAATTGAGGCTTGCGGGTCAAGAGTTTAGGGCTTTGGGCTGAGAGTTTTGCAGTGTAGTGCTTTGGGGGTGAAGAGTTTAGGTTTGGAGTTTCAAGTTTCCCTGAAGCCCATAGCCTCGACCATCCTCGAAAGAGAGGCAAATGTGTGAAGAATGACAGTTCCTTTCTCTTTAGATGATACGATATCGCCCCCCCCCCCCCACACCCCATGATTCCTGCCTCACCGTTACTTGCCGACGCCTCGAACAGCCGAATCTCGAAGGCCGAGAGAGCAATGGCCTAGCATTTCGCAGCATCAGCTTTGGGCTTCAGAACTGTCAGCACTACTATAGGGCCTATAGGGGCTTGCCTGATTACCAAGTTTACTATTTTGGGGGTTCCTTACTATAGCTATTGCGTACTTGGTCTCAAAAGTTTTGTTTTAATCATTACGCCCATACATTACATCCCTCTGAACTCTCCTGAGAAACTCCACCCCTGCAACAGCGGCAGTTTAAAGCCTCTCCCACTCCACATTTAGCATCATTACAGCCGCTAGAGGACGTAGCAATTCACGTAACATGTAGCTCTCTAGAACCCGGTAGGCCCTGAACCATACACCCGCTCTACAAAAGCCAGTTTTCAAGCAGCAGAAGCACACAGCAAACCCAAACTCCAAAACGCCCTCTGCACAACCCGAAGCCCGAAGCTTTACAACTGTTCGCAGGAAGATCGTCGTCAGGAGAAGGGCTTCGAGGTCGGGCACTCCGGTGAAGACAAGAAATCTCAGAGGGCTACATGGAAAAACGGAACTCGTCCATCGGAATTTCCTTTGCTACACGTTTTGAGATCTAGACTATGTTTTGGGAGGTATAAAATCGGCTAATTGTGCAGCGACTGCCAGGGGATTCTATTCCTAACTGGTATTTTGTACTTGTTCGATAGAGTAGACAGACATAGGTTCGATACGGACAAATGCACCTGTGTTGTTGGCTGTAGCCGCTTCCGCGGGCAGGCAACAGTTCTCGCAAGTTATCTGGAGATCTACAATGAGAAGATCTTCGACTTGCTGACAGGCAAATATTGAGGGTGGTGTTGATTTACCGTTTTGTTCAACACACTGTTTATAGTGTCATTGAAGTTCAGTTCAGGCGGTAGTGTATCCTAGGGATCTGCTGGGAGTTCCACAAGGCTCGGCCAAACTCTGTGCTGAGGCCATACCGATTTTCGGGTCCACATCCCATGGAGTGTTCCGCACCGACACATCTGTGCTCTCAAGACGCTCTCTGGCGAAGCCCCAGTCCTGATAGCATGCAGCCTCACGCCAGACGCTAATCGCATGCTTAGCCCTAAGGCCGTTAAGCTGCCGTTGCTTCTAGCAAGATAGTGTTGGGGAGCCTCGCCTGGCATGTGCGAGAGGCCGTTTCCAAATGATCACAGTCGTAGTCGTAGTCTTCATGGTGGTGGCGTTGGCGGTACCAATAGTAGTCATCGTCGTAGTAGTAGGAGCGGTGGTAGACGTAAGCGTAGTCGTAAACTTGGTCGGCGTCGTCGTCGCAGTAACAAGTAACAGCAGTGGCATTTGGATTTTGTAGTACTGTTATTGGCAGCAGGAGCAGGTGAAATGGCCGCAGCAATGCCAGAAGTAGTGTTGTAACAACCACAACAGGACCAGCAATCACAAGGGTGTTGTTCATGACAATCTGATCCAGCCAGGAGCACCGCAGCAACAATGGCGCTGATTACATAAGTAGGAGTATATTGAAGACGGGTGGCAGTGACAATACCAACTACTGACAACAGTGATATCAATAGCAATGGTAACCTTGATGACGCGAACTGGAGCAGTATTAATAGGACAACTTCGGCTAGCTCATAGCAGATTCCTCGGCGCAGGCGGTCACCCCGGAGAACTGCAAGTGCTAGGGAACCCAGTACTTTAAGGTCTGATGATTGATGATTAAGTCTGCCCGTGTAAAAGGTGCTTATAAGAGTGCTTTCTCAGGGCTAGCGTCTAGGTTTTTTAGATGTATTCTTTACTGTTTTATTTACGGGTTCGATGTTGGGTTCATTGGGGGATGGATGGTTCTTGGATGTAGGGCTGGGGGGTTTGGGGTTCAGGCTTTAGGGCCCGAGGTTAGGATGTCCTTAAGGGGGGGTGGTCCAAGGGGGGTAGGTAACCTAGTAATCCCCATTATTCCCCAATACTCCCTAAGCTTCCCTAAGGTTCCCCAAAGCTCCCTAGTACCCTCCCCCCTTGAACCACCCCCCCTTAAGGATCCTATAACGAGGGCTTCAGCGATTGAAGTTGCTTTAGTATTTAGCCTCAGGGTTTGAAGCTCAAGGTGTAGGGTAGGCCTAAGGCATCGTTTAGAGGATCGGGGCAGCAGGCCAGTTTCAAAGGTTTTAGGGTTTAGGGCTTCGATTTGAAGGCGGCTTTGACTTTGGGGGCACGAGGGTCCTTGGACGCACGAGGATGTTCTCATAGTTACTGTCGCAGCCCAAGTCGCGGTTTTGGGATAGACATCCCTCAGATCCACTGCACGCCAAACCCGAAAACATCGAATGTTCTTACGACGCTTCGACTGCAACGGCCCTGAAACCCCCAAACTCGTTACCATCCTGATCAAGCTTCACAAGCCCAAATCGTGAATAGCACGAAAGCCCAAAGAACCCTTGGGAAGTGCAAAGGCCCCTCGACTCAACTCTGAGCCCCAAACATCCCTAACCAGAAATACCACCTCGTCTGGCTTGTCCGAGTGGGCGCGTACATACCCAATTTCTTCAAGAGCACCCTGAAGCTAGAAAGGCGAAACCACCCCGAGCTGGGCCCTATCGTCCCTCACCTCACGGAGTGTCCAGTGGAGAGCTTCGAAGAGGTTGGGTCTTAGAAGGGTCAGTAGCAGTACGGGTTTGGTGGGCTTAGGGCATGCAAAGACAGGTGTAAAGGGGCACCTTTAGTACTTTAGTAATGTGGTTTAGTTTTTCGGTCTTGGGATTGTAATTTCACCATCGGCAAGAGTCGACGATTCGCAAAGCCGATTTCTACCACCACCTTTGACATCACCCCTCTCCCCCAAACCGTTTGGCTTCAGCTTCTTTCACCTGTTTTGTTCTTTGTGTGCATGAGAGTGTCCGCGATTGATCTCATCGTGTTCCTCTGACCGATCATACATTTTGGTGGAACGGATGGCATATTTATGCCCTTCAGTGATCGGAACCAAATCAACTGGACTCAAGCATGGGTTGGGGGTTTCAGGGTTTCTGGCTTGAGGTGATCGTTCATCGTGAGAGACTGATCGTGAAGGCTTGTCACTGTATCCACGCCGCCACACGCCGCGTCGGGTGGCCAAACCCTGTTCCTTACACTCTTTAAACTCGCGCAGCACCACGATTTCTTTTCCTTCGTGCTCTCTCATTTAAAACATCAGAGGCCCCTACCTGGGTGAAAGCCTTCAGGACTAGCAAGCACGGGGGATACTGTTGATACAATGGCAGAGACAATAGAAATAGCCATGGCGATGGAACACCCGGCTTGAAATCAAGCGTATACTACCCAGAAGTTCAGCATAGGTAAGCTAGGACTTGCAGAGGCTGCTAACACAGTTCTTATCGGGTTTCCTAACATGTTCAATCGGATTTTGGAGTGGGCCCAGGTCGTTCGGCAGATCAGGCAGCAACTACACTGGAAAGATATACGAAATTATGTCCTTACTTACGGTTGTATCCCATATGCGGCCCAAAGTGCGGCAGGCGTACGAGCTGCTGGACTTTGGCGCCAAGCGCCGGGCAGTGGCTGCCACACAGATGAATGCGACGTCTTCCAGGCCGAAGCCAGCGAGCAGGGGAGATTACTGATCAAGTTGATTCCGCCCTGAGAAGACAGATTGATGTTCAAAGCTGTGGCTCGCACCTGGGTCAAAAAGGTGACTGCATGGTACAGAGCACATCACCTGTCAGCCCAACCACAGCAAGTGTTGCCTCCACGGAGGTCACACGCAGTCTTCACCTTGCAGGCGGCCTCGTGGAATTGCAGATCTCAGAACCTGGTTCAGAAATAATGTGAAGCTTCCTCGCAAGCCCCGCATAGTTTAATGTCACATGATGCAACCGACAGAATCTAGCGCTCTGCTTCCCATGCAAAGCGTAATCATCTTCCCCTCAATACTAAGCAGTAGTTGTTGTCGTCATGATCGTCGTCGTGGCAGTAGCAGCATGAGTAATAGGAGCAAATAGAGTAGTAAGAGCAGTGTAAGTAGTACGAGTATGCAGAGGAGTGAGACTAGTTGGAGTAGAAAGAGTAGTGAGCGTGGTGAGAGTACTAAGAAGAAACCCCAGGCCCCAGAACCTCGAGGCACTGTTCAATTCCGCACAAAAGCGCTGCAACACACTTGTGCAATGCTGTAGAAGCCCTACATAACCAAGCTCCAAAATCTAACCTGAGCTTTAATGCTCCATTTGCCCCCCTAAACCCTGCAGAGTCCCGCAGACAAGCTTCTTGCAGGGTTAACATAGCTGTCTGGATAGTTTGTAACAGCATTATTCCTCCGGGCTTCCTTCATAATTATTCAGGACAGAAGCCATCCTAATCGCAGTCTGATTATCCTGGCTGCCGTATTTCAGGGTTCAGGGCGTGTATTTAGGTTACTTTAGCGTTTTTTTGCAGATTTAGGTTTGAACACCTGTATGCTCAAAGTTTCTTCGATTCTGCAAGTTCTTATGCAAAGGCGGAAGGGGTGAGGCTTCAGGGTTCAGGGCTACCAGGCTTAGGTCTTTCGGGCATTAGGTGTAGAAGAAAGTTACGCTTGAAAAAGTTATGTTTGTTTCCAGGCGAAGGGTTTGCGCAAAGGGTTCGCGGGGCTTAGGCTTACGGGAAGCTGCTCTAAAGTGTTTGGCAAAGGTTGCTCCAAACCCAAACTGCTGCACGAAACAGGTGCGGATGGTTATGGCGAAGCCAGGCGGCCGCATCGAAAGCCAGGCCGCAGCTCAAAACATTTCTATTCTGAAAGCCTCGGCTCCATTTTGATAAGATGTTGTTGCCGTGACCCTGGTAACTTCAACGAAGCTCCTCCAGAAGAGACCAGAAAAGGAGGAGACGTCTTAACGGCAAGAATGATGATCTGATAAACCCTGTATGAATAAACGTTTAGGGTTTACATGGGTTTACGGTCATTCAGGATTAGGGTCTAGCTGAGATGTTGTGGTTCAGGTCATACTGGTACTGGAATGGCAGCCAGTCGGAGACGACAGTACGACATGTCCCAGGTTCAGAGTTCTGCATTGCGGGGTTAGAGACCACCAGCGGCAGGGGTTAAATTGATGCCTTCTGACTTGGGTTCGGGTTTTATGGCATGGGATGGGTTGTTTGTAGCAAAAAAGGCGATTAAGACACCTGCATTACAGGGCGAAGCCCTGAATTTCCGGAGCACGTACATGGAGTCCTACACAGGTCTTGACGGCACACTTTCAGGTATCTTGGTCCGACCCAGCGTTCCGGTCGGTTCTGAGATCGAAAGATGCACCCTTTGGCCGAGCCTGCCGCCCAAAGCAGCGACACCTAGACCCACATCCCAAGTTGAAGCCAAAAGCCCTAAACCCTAAGCCCTAAACTTCCAAAGCCCGAACCCCCAAAGTGTGCACCGGCTCTGACCTTACAATGCGGGCATATCCTAGGCGAGAGGGAAGAGACCCTCGACCTGCATCTCGGAACTCAAAACTGTGGCATTCACCGTCTTTTGGGCTTCGGGCTGAAAGGGAGCTGGAGGCTGGGCATGGTTCCATTAAATCCAGGTGTGCAAAAAGGGTTTAGGGGTTTATCGGTTAGGGTTTAAGGCGAAAGGGTTGAGCAATTGACCTGGGTCCGCGGCAGAAGGAGTTTAGAGGAAAGAAGGAAGCACGAAGCGTGCGGCGCAGGCAAAGATCCACTTTGTGGACCTCGCCGGCAGCGAGAGGCCTTAGACCCAGAACGGCCTAAGGTAGAAGCCTCGTGCTACTCTCTATTAACCCCCAAGTGGGCCCCAAATCCAAAGATCTAAACCCAGTCTAAACCCCAAAACCAAAAGCCCAAAGAAACCAAAAGTCTCAAGCCCTGAACGTCTGAAGCCCTAGCACTGCGAAGCACTTAACCCCGAAAGCCCCAAAGCCTTCGTCCCTCTTGAATAGGCATTGTGCTTGTTCTGTCGATTTGGGTTAGAATGGTTTGGACTTCTGTGTTGTTGAAAGGTTGAGGGTTTAGTTTTTGTTACTAAGAAGTTGAGAGTTTCGGATGCTTGTCCGATTCCTGGATCAAGACGGCGGAAAAGAACACTGTTAAGCCATCACCTTCGACCCTAACGCCCTACACTCTAGACGCTAAAACACAACACCCTCCAATGCCGGAGCCGTGCAACCTAAACCCTCGGGCTGGCAGAGACTTGTTTTCACCCCCCTCATGTAATTATGAGTCTTACCTCCAGTCGACTATGCGCCAAGACCTCGCCTGGCTTGTTCGTGTGTGAGCGCCGAAACCCTGGTCTGAGTGGAGAGCCCAAGAAAAACAGCTCCCCAACCCACAACACCATATAAATTAAGCCTTGACCTGACAATTCTGGAGCCCTTTGAGTCTTAAGCCCTAAACCCTAAACCGGTTTGAGCACCCGGAGACTCTGAGGCAAAAGAAATCTGGCGCGGCCGGAGAGCGGCTCAAGGCCTTTTCTCGTAGTTACAAAAGGGGTGGAAACCCGTGAAGAGAATACTCAGAATAGGGTGCCTTTGCAAGGGTTCTTAAAGGGTGTTCTAGAGGGTTTTTAGTTTGGGGGCCGGGGCAATGAAAAAGAGGTGCAACAGCATTCCTTATGGGCTTCCCATGTTGAAAGTATCGTTGATCCCAAAACCCCTTTCTAATTATGAAGGTCCCTATATTTGAACTCTCTTCGTGTCTTCAGACAGGGCTTGGGACTACTGACCTTGCGAAAGGCCAGAGAATTTGAGACAACTCAGTTGCAGGGGCCGGTCGGCCCCTGTTTTTTTGCTATAAACGAACAGCACTGCAGCAACTATCGATTAGGAAGCCTTTCGGTATGATGGGATACCACGAATGCAACCTCGTAGACCAGACGCCTCCGCTACGACGAAGCTCCGCAAGAAGGTGCGTCCAGGAAGGGTCGCGAAATGTCGTGAACCAGGCCTTATGCTGGTACAACCCCAGTACATAGGTTTGACGACATGCTTACGGTCAAACAGTACAGTCAGGATTGTCGGAGCAGCATGTCCAATCGGAGGTTGTGTGGCTCATGATATTAAAGATCAGACTTGGCAGTATATCCATGGCAACAGATATCCCTAAGCCCAAAACCCAACACCAACCAGCAGGAAGGCATTGGCATCAATCTGTCCCTGACGACCTTAGGAAGAGCCGGTTCCCGAGACGGGTTCAAGGATTCTTGTTACGGCTTTAGGGGTCCAGAGTCCCGGTGTTAGAGCCACAGGGCTTGCAGGTTTAAGAGTTTAAGGTTCAAGGTTTCTGGGTTTTGGGTTCATGGTAGTGGGGGTTGAGGGAGATCTGGCGACAGAGGGGTGAAAGACTTTGGGTCTTAAGGCTTCAGTTAGGTTTTCTCCGTTTAGGGAACAACCCGCATGCTCGAACCAGACAGGGTTCAGAAGCCCCCAAACCATGGAGAGGAAGTGGAGTGCAGACTTATGAAATCTAGCACCCACATGAAGCAATCAATCTATGCCGAAGGAGCTCAAGCCATAAAGGGAACCCATAATGCACTTAAGCCTACAAAAGCCGGGGACCCGAAACTCTGGAAGGGTTCGGAAAGCTGGCTTGGAAGGGCATGGCTCTTTGCAAGTGTTGCGAGAAAGGAATTTGCCGTTGTTCCGGCAGAAGGAACAGGGTAGCTGACACCCTTGTGGAGCCCTCATTGGATCTCTGGTTGAGCCCTTCGAAGAATCCCAGCCGCAATAATGGCTTCCACCCCGAAGAGTCGGTTCCTTATCCTGAACCGCAAATACCAAGTAGGATCCCCAAGTGCACAGGCCTCAAGCCGCCAGTTCCTTACCATGAGACCCTAAGTTTACAACCCTAGCAAAAGAAGCCAGAAGAGTATACAGATCCTGAATTACTGAATGAATAGCATGCTCCCCAATAGTACCAGCCCCTCCCCCTACCCACAAGTTGCTTAAGGAGTGTACATCTCGAACATAAGGATCCCGGCAAGCTGCTTGCGAGTAATACAGAAGCCTGTAATAACCACGCATATACGACAATGTGCTACCCCCTCAAGAGAACAATGCTCACCACGAAGGCCTATATATATACTGCATTTCCTAGTGCCCAACTGATAGCAAGCTTTTCAGGCAAAGTAGTAGTAGTAGTAGTAGTAGTAGTAGTAGTAGTAGTAGTAGTAGTAGTAGTAGTAGTAGTAGTAGTAGCAATTCTCGAAGGAGCCCTTGAGGCCCTAATTTCCGCGTACTGCTCAGGTCATCTCTGAGTTGGCAAAGCCCGGGGCGAGGACTTGAGCACAGGGGCTTCTTCCTCCCTCGAAACTTCGGTGTAAGGGCTCTAGAGCCTTGGTCTAGGTGTGTATGGTTTGGGGAGGTTTAGAGTTTCAGGTCTTGAGCTTAGCTTTGGGAGTTTAGGATTTCGAGACTGTGAAACTTAAATACCGAATCTGTGTGGTTCGAAGGTTCGGATTTATCATGGTTCATCTATAAATCCAGGAGAGTTGACTTGGTCCAGAACCTCGCATCCAATTCCAAACCTGAGATCCCGAACCGTAGCCCTAAACGCCGAAAGCCCGAAAGCGTGAACACCCGAAAGTCCTAAAGTGTAAAGTGCTTAAGGCCAAGTATGAAATTGAACAGCGTCCAGAACACAAAGCCCCAACACCGTAAAAGCCCTAAAGCCCGCTAACGACCCAACCCCTGAGGCATAAACACGCAGCGACTTAAACTGCTGGAAAGCCCCGACCACCCGAAAAAAGCATTAAAGCCATGACTGAAGCCTTAGCCTTAAACCCTGAAGCCACAGGAACCCTCAACCCCTAGATGCAAGGGTCAAAATGCTGAACCTGAGCCCTCAGACCCTAAATGCTGAGCCCTTGTGGCAAAGGGTTTTGAAGAAGGTGCTTTGCACCGCGGTTGCCTCCTAATTCAATGGTGAAGGCCCCGCCTCAACTGCTGCCGGACAACCTCCGGGACAAGCGGCAAAGGCGCCGGCGCCATTGGGTGGCGGGCGGGAGAGGTCGTGGGGGAGCAAGAGCTCGCGATCCCAACGACTTCTCAAACGCCGCGTTGCTTTGGTGGCCACCAGAACACATGTGTCACATGTGGCCCCGGCGAGCGAAGGAGTATGCTGTTTCAAAAAAGGTCGGCAGGGTACATTGCATCCACTACAGTCCTCGACCACCTACTGTTACACGAGGGCCAGACGACCCTGGGCTCGAGACAAAACGATTACCCTAATGTACAAACTACATAAGCCCTCAGCTTCAGTCCAACTCGTACTCGGTCTGACAGTGCAGCCCATCAGGTTCGCTCAAAGTGAGCCCACAGGGCACTGTCGTGCTCGCGGGTTTGCTTCACCAGGGTGCAGCATTCCCGAGTTCGCATTGCCTGTTGGCAGTAAAGCCAAACAGACCCTTGCGAGGGTCGCCAGGCAATTATGGGACATTCGAGGCGAGCGTTGCCGGCATTCCTGCTATGCTGCCTGGCTGTCCGAAGTGCTGGTGTCCAAGTAAAAATCTCACCCGACCTATTGCCTGAATCCATGCCAACTCTTGAGCGAGTGTGTGAGTCGGAATGCTGAGCCTTAGGAGCCTTAAACCCGAAACGCTTAAGGTGGCAAAAGAGCCTTAAGAGCCTTCAAACTGTCCAGGAGCGTTCCCGCCTTTCGGGACTCGAAGTTGACCCTTCTGCTCAAGGAGTCCCCCTCACTGCAAGATTCCGTTTGTAGGGTTGTTCCCTAGGGAGGTCTAGGGTTTAGGGTGTGTTTCTCACAAAGAATCTTCTGAGCCCAAAGGTTGCTGATCTTGCGTTTTGGTTTTTCCGATCAGCAAAGGGCGGGGCTTAATGATTGGAATTACGCTGAGGTGAACTGCGTGATATAGGTTTGCACGTGCTATGCTGCTTGGACCTAGATGGCACAAAACCTGTAGAGTTGACACTTGCAAAAACAATGCAAACCGAGAGAAAGACGTAGAAACCCTGGTAAACCCGTATAAACCCCGGTAAAAACCTTTAAGAGACGAGCCCCTTGGCTTCAGGACGCCCTGATGGGCAACAGCCGGACCGAGCTGCTGGCCTGCGTCAGCCCCTCGAGCTTCAACCTCGAGGACTCAAAGGGCTCCAAGGGTTTAGGATTTAAGGTTATAGGGTTTTGTAGGGTTTAGGGTTTTGAGTTTTTGGAATTTGAGGGTTTGGGGTTTTGAGAATGTAGGATTTAGGGTTATAGTATAGGGTTGTGGGTCGTAGACTGGCTAGACTTGGGTCCAGTGGCAAAAAGGGTTATAGGGTTTTGTAGGGTTTAGGGGTTAGGCTTTAGGGTTAAGGGTGTTGAGTTTTGAGAATTTAGGGTCGTCATGCTTATCGAGATCGAGTGAAGATCGTGTCTTTTCAAGTAGTCCCAGATCAGTGCTTGCAGACAGTGCAACACTCTTCACGTGCTCAGCCATAAGTGCTGCCATTTGATGCTTGGCTGAAGGGATTCAGGGCTTGGTGCATTGCAGTCCCTGCTCAAAAAAAGGGATGAAGGTAGGTGGGTAAACCCAAGATATGAGCTCTTATACAAGGGATCCCTTGTAATTTGTGCACGTGTGAAGTAGCATGTTGTGTGTACGGCATTGTGGCACAAGTGCTCTTACAGGAAAAGTGCGTAGTTGCCTAATGGTATTGCGCTGCTTGTAAACACTTGGACGGGTATATACAACAGTGCGTGTGTGCAGTGGCTTACAACAACTATAGGTTATCAGCCGTATAGCCTACGGCCTGGTCACAACTGGTTGGTTACAATACAATCAATCAGCGCATGAGCGAACCGGAACTTATTCCTGCAAGTATGGATACAGTTACAAGCACCGTGAACCCTTTACAGCCCCCGGTCACGGGTGGCCATACAGGGAGCGGCGCCCCCGGCTTAGTTTTCCCGGCACCAGCCTCAGTCCAACAATTCAACGTCTTCGCACCACAGTATAGTGTTGAAGTACACGTTAACCAGATCAGACTGGAAGTCGGAGAACTAGAGGCTCAGGCAGAAGCAAGACACAGGCAACACATGCTGACCTATCAAGAAGCATCCGCAATTCACACAGCCGACTTGGAGCACAGAGCAGAACGAAACCACCTTGAAGTGGTAGCAGAACTGCAAGCAGCCTTGGCACAAAGCGAGTTCAAGGCGGCAAATCGTGAAAGGCTCCTGTTGTCGGAAATGACTTTGAGTCAAGCGCATTCCTATGATGAAGATCAAAGGTTGCGTCAAGAGTTAGCGGAACTTCAAAACAGCCGAATCACAGACGCATTGGATCAACATTTGGCGGAATCACGCTTTGCACAGAACCTCGAAGAACAGGCGAGACGGCACATCGAGAATTCCCAGGAAGTCATGGTTGAACAGTTCCAAGCACACTTTGAGTTGTTTAGGAACAGGCAGAAAGAAGAGTATGAGGCGTCCCTTGCTGTATGTAGGGAACAGAATGAAGAGCTTCAGGACAAGTTGGATTCTGCGGAAACTGCACTAGAGAAGGTCTTGGATCAGTACAATCCAGCTACTCCAAAGAGTCAGCCAGTGCCTGCTCCAAGCACCCCTGCAGGTCCTTCTGTCGTCCCCAAAGCTCCTCAAGCGCCCATGTTCTCAATGCCGAACGTTATCCCCCAAGGCGCCAGATGTCTGTTCGAGTCAATGAATCCAGGAGGTTTGAATGCTCAGTCCATTCCGTCTGCAACAGCATCTTCAATCCCCAAGGCAGGACCTTCCCAGGCAGCGCCAGGAACAGCGGCCCCTCCAGCGGCCGATTCCGGCACGCCAGGGACGGATGCTTTCAACACAGGTCTCCTAGAGACCCAAATGGCAATTCTTCAAAGCCTAAGAAACATAAGGGGTGAGAGCAAAACCGATGCTGACAAACCCAAAGTGAAAGAAGCAGAGTCTATCAGCCTTCCGGAGTTTCCAAGTCCAGAGTCGTATCGTTCGTGGAAAACGGCAGCTAGGGAAGCGGTCAGGGCAGCATCAGATTCACCTGATGAGGCGTTTAAATGGGTGATGAAGGCCTACGACAAAGACGCATCGAGACCCCGAGAAATTCCTCACCCTTGACACGAAACTTCTTGCTGCACTCACTAAAGTCGCTAGGGGAGAACTCTCCCGAGAAATCCTCATTTTTAAGGAGACAGAAGCGGCGAAATTCAGGGCGGTACGAGGACGACAGGTGCTCTACCTCTTCGATCAGTACTTCAAGACGAACGAGGAGGTTGGATCACTGTACTCCGTGGAGGACCTGCTGAAAGTAAGGTTAATCAATGACGACCTTTCAGTGTTCATTAGCAACTGGGAATCTGTCATGTCTGGGCTTAGCCACACACCGGACGAAACGACCCTTAGAGACATTTTCCTTCGTGAACTCAGGCAGTCCAAGAGGCTAAAGTACGATCTTGAGATTTACGACAGGGCAGCAGAGGGCACGGATCAGCACACGTACAAGTTTCTTGTGAAGTCACTTAAGGATCTTTTGACCCGAGAGCGCAAACGCAAGAACCGTGACCGCATCGCAAGATCTCACGGAGATAAGTACGGTGCCCCTGCCTCAAAGTCTCCGGGCCGAACTTCCAGCCCCTCTTCAAGAGGAGGCCGTGGCAGGTCGCAGAGCCCAAGGCCAAGATCACCCAGTAAAGGCAGATCACAGTCTCCCAGCAAGCCTAGGACACCTAGCCCAAAGGGAGTATGCTACGATTTCCTCAAAGGAACTTGCAAGCGAGGCAATAACTGCCCTTTCCTTCACAAGAAGAGATCATTGTCCCCCAAAGGCGACAAGCCGAAGAAGAAAATCAACGTGACATGCAAGTTCTGGAAAGAAGGCAACTGCAACAAGGGTGATAAATGTCGGTTCCAGCATAAGGACATAGAGAAGCCCTCAGCTCCAGCACCTAAGTCCGAAGCAGCCCCGGCAGCTCCAAAGCCAGGGTCACCCAGGGCCAACTCTCCTGCTCCGCGCAGAGGGAGAAGTCCCCGGGCCAAGTCAAGTGACAAGGCCCCAAAGACGGCCGCATGCGCCATCGCGTTCGAAAATACAGCGGATCTTGAGATCTCGCCAAAGCTCGCTATGGCAGCGTCACACGACGAGGACTACTGGGAGGTAGACTTCACCGGCAACAAAATCATCCGTCATCACAAGAAGTACCGAACAGATTGGTATGTTCCTGACAATTCATGTCCTGTGAACCCCAAGAAGCTTAGGAGCCAAGCTAAGCTCGAGCAGGTTTTGCCGGTCTCCCCTTTTGTTGGAAACAAGATCTACAACTGGAGGAAGACCCCAACCAAAGGACCCGGCAGCACATGGGTAGGTAAGACGATCTTCTACATGCAAGAACTCCCTAAGGTGAGTTTCGACAGCACCGTAGAAATGATTGCCATCGAACCGGAAGGAAAGCAGAGAAAGCATGCCTACCTTCCCAGGGTTTATGATGAAGTCTATCCCACTGTCGAGGCATGTCCACGCTCGAATCCTAAGGATCTGAAAAGGGCTCTTGTGTGGGCAAAGCAGTTTGCCACCATGATCGAATGCATGATTCACGACACGCCTGCGGGATGCGGGTATGAATGCATGGAGGAAGGCTTCCTCTGCGAGGAGTGCGAGCGACTTGCACGTCCGTCATGTGCAGGTCTGGTCCCCGGCTTAGAATTCCTAGCGGATACCGGAAGTGAAGAGGACCTCATCAGCAAGTCGGACTGCAGAACTCACTTCCCCGACGTACCCATTGAACCTGCCTCACGTCCTGTTTCTTTGATCACCGCCAACGGGCCGGTAAAAGGTAATGAAGCCGTTAAGCTAGAGGTCCCTGAAATCAACAAAATCCTCGAATGCTACGTGCTAGATTCAACACCGCCGGTGTGCTCTGTTGGTAGGAGATGCATGGATGAGGGTTTCGATTTCCATTGGTACGCAGGGAAGACGCCTTACTTCGTGACACCCGAAGGCCGGAAACTTTACTGCAAGCTGCGCGGGCGAGTCCCGGTAATTGGGGATGGTACAATCGCCGTTCCCGCCAAGGATGAGAAAGCGGCTCATTCGCCAGTCATCCAGGCAACATCGGGTTTTCCCCGTTCAGCGGCCTAATAAGGCACGCCAACGCAGCAGAATCCGAGCCGGAAGGCGAATCCTCGGGCAGTGGCCTCGACCCCAGGATCGAAAAAGCACTGAAAGAGGCTGCTCCGTTAGGCATAAAGGCGGAGTACTTGAACAAACCAGGTTGGGTTTCGCATCCTTCCTTTCCACAGATGATCGTGGGGCACTTTCCCAAAACCTTTAGAACGCCTGCTACAAGGTTTCCAAAGCACGTCATCCGGAGTACTTGGACTTATGTCAAGAAATGGCAGGAGATCGAAAAAGACGTGGATGTAAGGACGTTGGACAATCGGGTAGCCAAGCTCCCCTCTGATGCCTGCATTCTCAGTGTAACGATCTTTAAAAGACCTGTTGATGACCCCGAGCCGGAGCCTGACAGCGAAAGAGAAGCTGAAGCTGACCCAAAGGACGAAAAACGTTCAGCCCAGCTCAAGCTGCAGGCCAATAGCCCGGAGCACAAATTCACCCACCGTCCTAAGAACCCTTTCTGCAAGGTATGCCAAAAGGCCAAAATGCTAGCGCCACATGCCAGAAAGCGAGGGGGGAGCTCCACTATCTTTTCGAAGAAGTTCGGAGACCACGTGACGATCGATCACATTGTGACCAAGGACTTGCGTGATTTTGGGATCGAAGGTGAGAAAGTTGCTCTTGTGGTTAAGGACGTGTTCACTAACTTTCGTTATGTATACCCTGCAGGTACGAAGGAGTCGGAAGAGGTTTATGATTGCCTGTTGCACTACTTCGCTGTAGATGATGAACCAGGTATCATTTACTCTGACAACGCCCCCGAACTCAAGAATGCTACTGGAAAATACAAAGTTCGTCACAACACCTCACGACCTTACGTCGATGAAAGCAAGTCTGTTGTTGAGAGAGAGATTCGAACTGTGCTCGAGGGCACACGGGCGAACTTGCTGCAGGCAGGACTTCCAACGAAGCTCTGGCCCTTAGCTGCTCAACATCACACTATGGCTCTAAACTTGTCCAAAAGGATGGAC